TTCACGTACATGAATGAATGTACTATAGTACCAGACCTTAAAATATATTCATGCAGATATTATTCTGAAGATTCAGTTATGACCTGAGGTTATGACAATACTCTCTCCTGATATATTATCCGTATTAAAACATCTTACTCATAATATTAAAAATAATATCTACTTTAAAAATACCTTACATAACATTTTCCAATGCCATATTTGACGCCTTTGCCCTTCGTAAATTAGTAAAGTGCTACATTATTGCCGTAGTAATAATGCTACGACGGCGCTTCGTAGACTCGACTTGTGGAAGGTCGCTCGAAGGGCGAAGAGCCCAGAAGGCGTCGCAAAGTCTCATTCCCATTTCACTGAGTGTGTGTGTGGGGTTGTTCACCTTGCCTATTTTCGTGTCAGTTTACAACCGTAATAAGAAGGCATTGTCCACCTGTCCCAATTGATTGAAAAGCATTATTTATTTATCGCATTGTTCCAAACTTCTGTCGTTTCTTTACGAAAGTAAACATCTGAGTTGAGGTTAAAATGAAAAAGTAGTAAGTAGGTACTAAGTTTAATTGAGTTGACGGGAAATGCTAATTGGTTTAACATAACCTGGGAATTAAAATGAAATACAGCAGAAACATAAGGATCATAATCCGCTCTAAATTAAAAATATATCTGGGGTGATATAATGGAGGAATCTGCAAATGTTTCTGTGTGTGTATGTCTTTTTGACCACCACTTGAAAGAATACTTTAGAGACCAACAATATTATAGCTGCTGTTTTCTATTCAAAAGTTTGTTATGTTCCATAGGCTTGAAATTGTTGATAGGTAATAAAATGTTAGTTCACGATTGACGAGATAAAATAGTAAAATATTTTAGGCAACCCATTCATATCGCAAAGAAACTTCTAATTCGGGTTCTCTACTATTACTTACGTATTGTTTCGCATCATCGCGCGTTAGTCACGTAGCATATGCACCTACTACCTACTACGTGATTTTTACGTAGCGATTCAAACTTCAACTTTAATATAACCTACATTTTATCTGTGATGATATTACACTTCCTATTTTGCTTTAATAGAATCAACATTTATCAGACGATATAACAAGTTAACTATGAAATATACCTATGGCTTCATTCACAGTTGCGTGTTGTTCAATCCTATATTACATTTGCCTATAATTTCTCTATTTACGTATCTGGAGTGGTATTTCACTACTCAATTAATAATACAACAGTGCTTATTAGTATTCTGTGGTATAACGTAAAACATTAAATGTATCCACTATAAATATGTATACGTAGAAGTAATATTTTTATGGGGTCGTAAAATAACGTACAAAATTAAATACATACATTTCAATTGAAATCGGCCTAATACACATTTTTCAGTGGTCAATTTCTAAAATTTACTTAGTTTGCAAGTAAATTCTTACCTACTTGTAATTTAGCCTTGTTGCTAACCACTATTCACCTACATTATTAGTGAAGAAATCAATTGACGATAATATTATGAAACGTTTAATTTTCGTGCACTTTAGTATGCCGCAATTATCTATGTATGAATGCAATTGCAATAATTGTTTTATTTAATTCTTAGATTTTTGTCCACACAATTATATCCTTGAGCAACTCATTGAGCAAGGGAGTCGATTAACGTATTATGGATCGAATACAGTTTATAAATAGCGTATCAAATATCAAAAAGCACATTGGTAAACAGAAAAAGAAAGAATTTTACACATACTTATTTAAGTAAAACAGTGGTAATTACTTCTTGTTGTAGAGTTACACTTGTTGAGTGCACTAGTTCACTCTACAACTACCTACATATGAGTATAAGTGACGTAGCTCGTTAAAATTACGTTTTTACGGTTTAAGGTTTTAAACGAGTCGTATAAACGCACTTATCGTAACCTTTTTTCAGCATTTTAATGCACTTCAGCACATTCATAAAAGTAACAACTAGCACTGTCTTCTGATTGAGGGCTAGAGGTCATTTGAGTCATCATTATTTTGACTCAATTACCTACATTTTAGAAAAACATAGATTACCTACCTATAATATAGGTATATTCCTTTCCTTCCTTAATAATATACCGGTCCTTTATTATACCTATTGTATCTATAATTTAAGGTATATTATATATTTATAATAATATATCCTTCCTTTCCTTCCTTAATATACCGGTCCTTTATTATACCTATTGTATCTATAATTTTAATGTATCTGTCTGGCGGCAAATAAAGAATTTGGCATCAAAGACTGCCACTGACTATTATACACTCGCGAGCAAAAGTATGGAATCACTTACATGAAGTTGTTTCCACGCGATCTTGTATACTAACGAATTTGTTAGGAACAAAAAAAGTGGCACCATTTTAAAGATTAAACTTTTATCTTTAAATTGATACCAAATTCATTTAAATCACACCGGTATTTAAAAAGATATCCCGGCTGATGTGGAGAAGTAACGAAAAAGACATGTATGAACTGTTTGATATGTCGTGAGTTGCGGCCTATTTACCCCTTATAAAAGCACGCGTTTTCGGATTTTTGCTTTCCCACGTTGATTCATACACATCTCCGCTTCTTTTGACACTTTACCTGGGATTCTACACCTTCAGAAGCAGCACAAATCGTTGCACTATTGCAAGAAGGGCTCAGCCAGCGGGCTGTCGCACGTCAGCGCCACATAAGCCAGTCCTGGGTTTCGAAAGTTTTAAGACGCTTTCGGGAGACTGGTGGCTTTATCCCGAGACNAGTTCATACATGTCTTTTTCGTTACTTCTTCACATCAGCCGGGATATCTTTTTAAATACTGGTGTGATTTAAATGAATTTGGTGTCAAATTAAAGATAAAAGTTTAATCTTTAAAATGGTGCCACTTTTTTAGTTAATAACATATTCGTTAGAACACAAGTTCGCGTGGAAACAACTTCATGTAAGTGATTCCATAGTTTTGCTCGCGAGTGTAGTATAGTCACGAGACATATTTACTTATTACGTTTCAACAAAAGGTAATGGTGATGAGTACTCCTTCTTGAGAGGGAGAGTAAATAAATAATCGATAGGGATGAAAATATACTTACATTATTCAAGCGACCATTTTGCAAAGTTTGCTTTTTGTTTGAGTGTAACGAAGGCACGTGAGAACATTCTACATGATATAATTCAGCTATCGTCGGCATGGACATTGTATCTCTATTTGTAAACCAAATGCTACGTTCGTTTTTATGTTACCAATAACAAACGCCGGAGCTAGGTATTGCTCTACATTAATCAATATACTTATCTAAGCAAAAAATTTAGAATAGTACTCCTTCTTATAGTGTGTCTTCCAATTCCAAAGTTTGCGTCGCTACAACAAGCATGTCTGGATCGATATTTATAAAAATAGTGATCGTGATTATCAAGAGACAGATCCTACAAGGTCACCTATCTAGTGCACTTTCAAAGACATTCTCAATGCTATGGATGCTCACTATTTTGACGTTTCACATTAATAAACCAGCGACGGGTTCCAATGAGTTCGTCCTCCTGAAGTGCATATTACAAGGGGATAAGAGTCAAAATGTAACTAGAGGGCAGATTTGTGTCAGCACAGACAAGTTTGTAGCTTGTAATAGGACTCGGGTGGTATGTGTGATTACTGTAGCAAGGTGCCAAAGTACTGTACGTGAAACAACAGCTGAAATTGTTCCTCTTTTACGGATTGATTTCTTGATTGCTATAACTTGAACATCTTACACATCTGTGTGAACATCAATAATCTCTATATTTCTTCGACTAAACGATGTTCTAGCTTCTAAGGCTAGGCAGGCACCTATGCAAACGTGCAGTAGTCATGATGAATCATGATAATTTTGGTATGAGTTTACATCTCCGGTATTTCGGGTGCAAGTCATAAATCTGCTTACGTATTCATGTTCGTTCACTAGTATTTTTTATTAATGAAATACCTAACCAATTTTCAGGACTTACATCCTAATTACAATACTCGGCACATTAAGATTAATATTATTCAATTGCAAATTTAGAAAAGCTATCCTGAAAAATTAAAAAAAGGAAGAATTTGAAGAAATGAATTATGATAAATTATGATAATTCATTTTACACATATTTAGTAAATTATTGTAGCCCGGTAAAATTTGCACCAAAAATAGGAGTAGGTACAATTACTGATTCGCATACAGTTGAAAATTGGTACGAATGTTCGGAGCACCGCGCTAATTACTAGTTAAATGTAGATATTAAATTAATAAAGCACTTATTTTCTAAAATACGTTCAAGAAAATGTAAAATAATTGTTTTGTGGACCTAAATTCATAATAATTTTCGTAAGCAATGGTGGTCCCATATTGCGTCATCACCCGCTAGCGCTACGTTAGTGGAAAGTTAGGGTGTGTGCGTGCTACTTCTTTTGTTTTTGTCTCTTTCCCGGCTTCTCAGCGACCTGTTGTTCATAACGTATAATATAACGCTTATTTGGGAATATAGGATTGAAACTGTATTACCTACTTTTTATTAAGGTAGATTAGATTTCACGGTCGTTGTGAGTTGCGATTTTATCATGTCTTGATGATAAAGTCACAATAAATATTTGACGTAAGCCAGTGACCCGCATTCTTCATTATTTGTGCTACATTTGGTAATTATCGCTATGGTTGGTGTATCTGTAGTCATATCGCAAAATGTATGTATCTCTACAAAAAGTTACATCAGTGTGAACTGTAGTGGAGCCTTAATATTACATTTTTATATTGAAACGTCATCGGATGTGTGACGTATTCGGTTCGTCACACTATTAGTTTCCCACGCGAATGTTAACTTGACTAAAATGTAAACTTGTTCATCGCAGTTTATACTTGTCAAAGTGTCGAAAACTCGAGGAACGTTTGTTTATGCGAAGTTTGATAAGGACGTAGCCGGGGTAGGTTAGGTGTCAAATCTCGTGGCCATTGATCGGTGGGCGGGCGGCAGGGCGGGCGGCGCCCACGTGCTCGCTCGCGCCCGGAATAGACAGTCTGCTCCACGCCACCGATCACGTCGTTTCGTTCTGTTCGCTTTCCAAATATTACGTGCAAAATTCGGACACAGTCCAGACCGGTCATTCTTTAAATATTGTGTACGTCCTAATTCTCTCTCGCGTCGCCTTTTGTCGCTAGTTTTAATTTCAGTGGCTTGGGACAGTTTAGGTTATTTCCGCGTGACTGTGATTGTGATGTACTGAAAGGTTGTGAAACGTAAGCAATATCGTAATCAGTAGTTTCGTTGCCGCGTTTTTGTGTGTAGTTGATAAGGTGCTACAGGGTATTGGTGCGATTGGGTTGAAGATAGTAACAGGTTCGGCGTCGGGTGCGCGAATCGCGTGATTCGGGATTCGCGTATTTTATCTGCGGTGTAGTGTGTTCGCGCTGTAGAGCGCGGACGGCGGAGGTCGGGCGAGCGCCGGCGCCGCGGCTGTCAAGGTGCGTGGCGCGCATGTGCGATGCGATGCGTGACAAACTCGCCGCGCTGCTGCGAGGCTCAGTGCGCGCGGGCGCGCTTGCACACAACACGGACAAGTTGCAGAACGGTTCGATCACACCCGTACTCGTGTTTCCGGATGAAGGTTTATACTTACTCAGTACTAATTACTACAATTCTCAATAAGACCTCATTGTAAGAATTGGTTTGCAAACACTTTCTTAACTAAATCATTCTAAGTACCTACTATACATGAATGATAAATAACACCGCAGCAAAAAAATGTGGCTTGAAGTAATGAGGCCACTTGACTCGATAGAAGTTTTGTTCTCATTAATAAAAATTCTGCTTTTAATACTTACTTACTTCTACAGCTATTAATATTTTTTTCTTATGTTGTGTAGTAAAAAATAAGATGATAATTCCAACAACAAATTGGATTTCTGAGATACGTTGATATGCTACGACGCGACGTAGCAAACTGACCCGCGTGCTACGACGTAGCAAACTGACCCGCTTGCTACGTCATAGCAGACAGACCCGCCGGCTACGACTCGACGCGACGTAGCAAACTGATCCACTTGCTACGAATTTCGTAGCATATTTAAAATAAATTATAATTTCAAAATATTCAAACTTTAATACCCGCTTACATGAGCTATGTTTTAGTTAAAGTTTTTAATGTTGTGTTTGCCCTTGCTACTGTTTGTATGGAGACTCGCGGCATACATGCATCATATGCCAACAATAATAAATTACAGCTCTGCATCTGCATGAAACTATGTTTATTAAGGAACTATTGGTGCATGATGATTTCATTGAGTTTATGTTACGAGTATGTTAGGTAGGTAGCTAAGGTATCTAATTCGATGTAGAACTGCAACAGCATCAATAAAAACCTTAGTGGTTTCCTGAATGCTGTCAAAACAAATTTTGTCTGTAATTCTTTTTAATTGGTAAATAAATGAAAAAAATAATAATTACGATTCGGTTACCTCATTTATTCTTGGTAATTGTCTCTAGTGTTGTAAAATAAACTCTTAAGTAGCGACTGATAACTTTTTCTATGTGTATGTCCTGGTATTATTATACGAGTATATGATGTGACTACTAGATGTTAATCGGTGTATTTTGTATTACTTTCATCTGAGATTTTTTAACTTTACAGCATTTATTCTCGTGACTAATTTATTGATAATCAGAAATTAGTGAAATGCAGTGCAGCACCGCGCTTTACTGATATTATTGTAGCATTTAAATAAATATTCATCACATTATTTAAATTAAATAATCTAGGCTAAATTCATATGAAAATTAACTAACAAGACCTACTTCAATATGTATGATGAGGTTAGTAGGTAGGCTCGAGGATGTAGAACATAATGGGAAAGGATACGAGTGAAATGGAGCACGTAAATCAAGAAAATGGAGGGAAAAGCGACTCGTTATGCCAAAATGAAACAGCTGAGCTCCTTGTAATAAACTTTCACAGAAAGGACGATATTAGGTGTGTTAGGGTGGTTAGGGCGGGATAAAACTAAAGTAGAGTGTGATATTAAAGATTTCCTTTTACCGCAGAGGGCGAAAAGTGCTTTAAATCTGTGAATTTCTGTCAAATTCTTCACATTGTAAGAATACCTACCTAAATGTTGTGTAGTTTGTGAAGCATATCCGAAATTTTAGGTACTAGACATAGTTTGTTGGATATTTTGGTTGTAATCGCAAACTGGCTTCGGATAGCGTCATTGCGTTTGTGTGACAATAATACACCAATTAGTATAAAAGTAAAAAGCTCGGGATGTTTACGAATTTAGACATACATAGCAAAAAAAAAATAGAACTAAACTACAAAAAAGTTTCAAATTCTTAAAATCTAATTAGCTAGGACTTTTTAATGTTTCTTTAATCTGTGTATGTTTTTTGAATAAATGCAATAACCAAATAACTTTGTTCGGTCAGTTTGTATAACTTCCTCTGCTTCTATTGCGTAAGTAGGTACGAAAACGTGATTTTACGTACGTGCGTCATACAGAATATTTTAAAATAAATCATTCCCACATTTTTGTTTGCAACGAAGTAACATAGATATGTTTTAGGCAATAAATCATGAAATGTAGAGTCAGAAATGTGGGATTGTTTTTATATATGTAATACCTATCTATTTACTTGCGTATAAATATTGTTTCTAAATATTTCTTCCTTAAGTGCTTCTCGGTAATCATCGTCAAGTTACAAACTTTTATGGTTTTTAGGTATGAGTTAAGTCACGTAGACCGCTTAAGTTTGTTTTCCTTAGGTAACTTCAAACATAAAATCATCATAAATTGGACACACAATTCTCAAGAATACATACCTACTTCTTTAAATTTAATGGAATTCCCGTCAGTAAGCTAACCGCAGCCGCATAACTTCATCCTGCCTACATTGTTTAAGTAAATACACTCTTACTAATAGAGGTATTGTGCTGACCGGTGTACGTGACACTGATCAGACACTGTTTTGACTTGTAACATACCTAGTCGGATGTCTCATAATACTAAATTTGTACCTATAGAAATGCTATGTTTATTATAATTTAGCTGAACAATTTATTAAACACACTCGCGACCTGAACTGTTGAGTACTAAATCTATCTCTTACAAGTGTACAATAGTTTAATATACCTACATAGCTATGTTTACATATAATTATAGAGATGGATTAGTTATAATCTTAAACGTACCTAAGTACTTAGTGATTCTTTAAATGAGTAGGTAATTGGAAAACGTAATTTCAAGAAATTGTACAATAGAGCAGCTCGTTGATTTTTTTTTTTTTTTTTTTTAAAGATTATTAGTACTTTGTTATTACACAAATTACTAATACTCCCGTTAGCCCCTCGTACTAAGCTAAATATGCTTGTGTCACGAGTGAGCTCACCACAATAGTCGAGCGGCGGCGGGGACCGAACCCGCGTTCCCCGGATCACGAGTCGGCCAGTCCGACCCCTTCACCGTTCGGCTATCGTGGCTTCAAACGTTTGGTGTTTGGATATGAAGTGCATGTTCAGTTATGACTTATTCAGAAAATTTAAGTTCCTTGCCAAATTACTTTAAAGAATACTGATTTGCGATTGTGGTACAATACAAGTGAGGAACTAAAGTCAATTTCAAGCAAATCATTTTTAAGAAAAACAATAATATACATACACACAATAACATAAATGTAGGTGGTGATCACTATTAATGTTTAGTCAACACACTTATTATTGACGAAGTTGGCTATAAACTTTGTCTGGGAAGGTATTGTTTTTAATTACGAAACGATTTACGATTGCACCTAGTTTTAAATAAATTTTTGTTGGTTTTCGTCTTCCAATAAAGTGAAGTGTTTATAGAAACGAAAAGTAGAGTTGTAGGACTTATCGTAAAGTAGATACATGCTAGGGATTTATGCTTAGGTGTTAGTAGGAGTGACGTTTTTTCAGCGGCGCCGCAATTATTATCTATTCTCGTCAATGAGAGGACATTAATTTTAACTGACTATTGTCACGATTTCATTAAAACTTCATTTAAAAACTGCACGAAAGCCAGAAACAAGATGCATTATGTAAAAATACCGTTGTAAAAATATTTGTCTTTCAGCATTTTGACATGGAGCGCTTTCATCACTTGTGAGTTAATTGCAAATGTAAGTTGTTGCTAATAAATAAAGCATGGCACGTGCATTGTGCCAGCGACAGCAACACCTACTCGTAAAATAAGCGCATAGGTGCCTGTGACTCATCTAATATTTATTCTAAGTCAACATTACTAAAGATTATGATATATTTTTTAATTTACTCGTAATATCAATTGTATCTCCCAACATTCACATTTACAATACAAAATTATGTATGCCAATGCATTACATACATTATTTTAAAGCCGCTATTCAAACAAATCGATTTTACATGTAACTACAAGGTAAAAATAATCTTATTTGGACATTGATTGACGTTGAACATTTCTACCTGTTCAATTTCTTGAATAACTACATAACAGAGACTGTGCATAAGAATAATAATGTCAACCTGATGACAATAAAATTCATCGTATGTTTTTCATAAAGCTCGGCTGAAAAACGTTTTCTAAACGAAAACAAAGTACGGCGACGTAAGGATAAAGATAAAGGTAAAGATAGAGCAGCATAATTTCGATTTACAGACATTGAAAGATTGCGTATGCGATAGCGAAGCATGAAAATTCTATCATATCTCTACGTATTGTCCCCATTCAGTGCCATCTTATCTATACCTAACCGTACGTACATGCTGAATCATATTGAAGTACTATAGCTTTAAAATGATTAAGTGTTTAGGTAATTCAAAAGGCATGAGATAAGATAATGCATTAAGGCGCACTAACTCGATATTATGACTGCATTGGCTATCAATGTTTGAGCTGAGGAAGTTTTTGAAAATTACAACTACAATGTTCATCCAGAAAATAACGAGTTAATATGAAGTCATGATAAGTTTATCAGTTGAATTAAGTCTGAACTTCTGAAGCATTTCTGTAGGTATAAAGTATCCCCATGAAATAATTTCAAGACTCCCAGTTACGTAGATCGTGAGTGTGACTTTTAACCATTTAATTGTTTTCGTAGGCAGGAATTCATTATTGTACCGGTAGAACCCTGAACGACAGCGGCCTAGCCGCGGCTTGGGCCACCGCGACAATCATCTTCTTACAATTTGGCACTACAAATTAGACAAGTGCTATATGAAACGCATAATTACAATTGGCATGACTCTCTGTCCTATTACTACGTTTTTTACATCGATGTAGCAACAAAATATCACAGTGGACATTTTATTGTTTGGCCCTTTTATCAACGAGGGCTTTTCCAACATCAGGCCAAGGTCATCAGATATTTGCTTTTTTAAATATATTAAAATGTATGAGACCCACTGATATTGTCCTACTCCATATAAAACAATATCGCAACAAAATATATTAATAAATTTTACATGACATGTAAATTTATTTCAACATTGAACAATATAGACGGACAGAATTGGAAGTTTGTTAATGTTATGTGTGTTGTTTTGTTTGAGTTTTTCACGTAGGAGCTCTTTGCAGGATTAAAATTTCCATTGGCAGATTTGTAGCTGTAAACTGAAAACTAATCAATATGGTAGTACAGCTTTTCATAAAAGTAGGTACTGACAATTAATCAATATCAGAGCTTGGACACGTGGTTAGCCTTGAATCGATTTTCCGCAATTTCACCGCTAATTTTAGCTACCAACTCAATTCCTGGCCTAGACAGCTGAAGTGTGCGTAATTATGTTAAAAATCATTGTTTACCTTGAAACGTTAATTTAATCGTGGAAATAACTTAAATTAGCATCAACTGTCTGATTAGATATTTCTAGTATCAGTGCTTTAGTGAACTCTATGATTTGATTTTTCTGCTTACAATGCTATGGTAGAGTCATAAGCAAGTCTTGTATTCTTACTAAGCTAAACGTGAACGGGTCAAATCTCAGAATGCTGTTTGTTTTCTAGTAGAGCTTCTATTTTAAATGTTACATGTCAGCAGTCACGTATCCTACGCGTTGTGAATTTCTGTTATTCCGGTAGTTTGAACTAACTATAAAGATGGTTTCCGGTTCAATCAAAGCTCATTACACGAATCTCGATATGTTTTGGCAGACTTTCAGTGTGAGCTTGGTATTTTTCGTTGTCGGTATTATCGCAAAATTTATATCGGCGGTGACGTCATTTAATGTTTGAGTTTTTCAGAAAAATTTAAAGGAGCACACCCATTCTTGCTATTTATAAGTAAAGTATACTAAATAAGTACGCGTTGATAGGCGGTGGGATGTCAGCGGTTACAGGAGCTAGCCGACGACGCAGTTGTTTCACTGCCCACTCACGACAAAAGACTATAAAGATTCCAATAAATCTTTGCAACATTATGTTCTTTTCCACTGCAATGTTTTCGGCGCCAATGTGCTTACCTTCGTGGAAACTGCGATAAAACTGTATTATTAGCTTAAAAACCGGTTTAAATGATATCGTTATTATCGATGATTAAAAAACCATATGAAATCACATAAACTACTCGTAAGCTAACGCAACGTGCTTGTTTTGATGCCAAAATGATAATGGAAAATAAAGGTTAATAAAAAGGATAGTTTAGTGGTTGGCAGATGGACGCACTTTTGAATTGTTTGTTTGTTTATCTATTAAAGAAAATGTTTTGAAAAGGGTTAGATTTTCCTATTACCCTAAAAATAAGGCTGTTATTTGTATGTATTTAAACTTGTTTCAATTATCAGGGGGCACACGCGAAGGCGGACTGGTGTGGCGCGGGTGCTCCGCCGGCTTCGGCGCCGAGGATGGCGCGGCGGGAGCGCTCGCCGACGGCAACGTCAACCCAGGAGACAAGGTTAGTTTCTTTTCTTATTCCCCCTTATTAATAAAAGTTACACCCTAGTTGAACTCTGGCTAAAATTGACATTTAGTATGGAAACGTAATTTTAATCCAGAGTTCATCCTAGGTGTATCTTTTTAGGGGGATAGAATAGCAATTTATTTATATTATACCCAAAAATGTAAGCCTGATCATGGACAGATTGGAATACGTCAGAACTGCGCATCAAGCTTACCATCGGTAGACATCTATCATTATCACAAAATATAAGATACTAGCTGACCCGGCGAACTTTGTTCCGCCTTAATGGCAATCAATAAGCAGACTTTTTTTTTAATTTCGAACGGGATAAAAAGTATCCTATGTCCTTCTCCTGGCTCTAAACTACCTCCCTGACAATTTTCAGCTAAATTGGTTCAGCCGTTCTTGAGTTATAAGTGGAGTAACTAACACGACTTTCTTTTATATATATAGATAAGTTGCAGATAATATGTTTCTAGACGTCATAAGTGTATGCTATCTACACTTGAGCTATCTATCTATCTATACTAATATATTTTACGTGTTATAAATGCTTTTCAAATATTCCTATCAATATCTAAATTAATTTATGATATAAATTACCTATCAGATATTCTTGAATTCCTAAAACAAGGAAACAGAGGAGGTACATACTTTGAAAGTAAATAAGCTGCTACATGTGTATACTATCATCATCATCATTTCAGCCACAGGACGTCCACTGCTGAACATAGGCCTCCCCCAATGACTTCCACATCGCACGGTTTGTAGCGGCCTGCATCCAGCGCCTTCCAGCTACCTTTATCAGGTCGTCGGTCCACCTTGTGTGTACATGTGTATGCCTAAGTGTTAAATTAAAAGCAAATACATATAATGGAACCTTCGAACCGCTTTTATGCTTACGGAGAAGATTTAGATTGAATCTTGAGGTTTTCAAAGAGCCTAGTTCACTCTGAGAGCACCACTTTAACCGCGGAGGCTCGCAGGAACGATTTTATTTGCCGTCGCGATCCGAGATGAGTGCTTGTTCAGCGTCTTAACATTTTAATAAGGGTAGAGATGCTGTGGGTACATGTATAGAATTTTCTGAGGTTAGTGCGTTAATTTGCGTGGGAATGTAATAATGTTAGATGGTTGCTATAGGTTTATTATTACGTATTCAAATTACGTGGGATTTCGAAAGAATCAGGTCAAATCATTTGTTGACGATTATTTCACAAATATTGAAGGAACACTACATATTATTTTGACACCACCTTATTTAGTTAGTCGTTGTAAAAGTAGAGCAACAGGGTCAAATATAGGACTTAGGTACCTACTTTCTTATTTGACATTGTGCCTCTACCTTTTTGATACGAGTATGCTAGACCACGAGTATTTCATCTGAATGTTACAGGGTATTGATTTTTGATTTGTTTTTGCAGTTGGAGGGGTCGGACGCAGCTGCGGACGACCCTGTTCACCTCAAGAGACGGGTGGGACTCTTCAGTGGGGTGGCTTTAATTGTTGGTACCATGATAGGTAAGTTGTTTCCACCTTTTCAACTTTCCATGAATGCTAAAAAGTATTAGAAGTTAATGAGTGGGAGTAGGTCAGTCTCTTCTCTTCTATGGAGTTTAAGAGATGGAACGAGCTTTATGTATAGAGAGTACCTATAGTGACAGTTTCTACAAAATCTGTTCAATATCAGAAGGTATAAAATGTTTATATCAGAGTATTCCTTAAATTAAATTATTTTTAGAGTGAACATTAAGAATGTAAGAGCAAAACATGTTATTTTTCTTCCTGAGTCACATAGCTACTTTACAATTCAAGAATTAAATCGAAGTAGGTATTTTTGCACTGACTCAGATAATCTCGCTTACGAAATAATGCGTAAAAGTGCAAACTCGATGTGCCACTTATTTTACACAGTCATGAAATGTACGACTGTATTGCCTACCCATGTAAACAGAAGCACGTACGAGTATATCCGGTTTTATTAAGAACTAGCTGACCCGGCGAACTTTGTTCCTCCTTAATGGCAATAAATAAGCAGACTTTTTTTTTAATTTCGAACGGGATAAAAAGTTTCCTATGTCCTTCTCCTGGCTCTAAACTACTCCCTGACAATTTTCAGCTAAATCGGTTCAGCCGTTCTTGAGTTATAAGTGGAGTAACTAACACGACTTTCTTTTATATATATAGATACATCTCATTATTTATTATTAGAATACAAAAAGTTTTTAAGATTACTGTAAAAAATATTTATAATATTTTTAAGATCTTGTAACTGTAGGTGTATTGTTGAAAATAAAATCACAAGAAGCAACTTTTTAGTTAAATAATCTTAAAGTGTAACGAATGTTCAAATTAAATATAATTCTTAGGTAATGTTATTTTAAAGTGTGTAAATAACTTGGTTAATATAAATAGTTACACGAAATACCTGCTTGTTAATGAATATTGACCATTGGATCTAACATTATTTGCACACTGTCCGCGTGAGAAAAACTAACAGAGTTAAGAATGTAACGCAATCCAGACTCTTTTACATAGCTCATTCAGCTGATTTTTATTTAAGCACCTCCCGTCACATGACTCTATGAGCTTTAAGGTACTTACATTTAAACCTTGCTTGCCTTGCATGCGTCCAACTACAAATCAAAACGGACTAACAAAAATATACGAGACTAACGTCAAAGCATACAAACCAGCTCCACTAAAATACTTGCAACACATGTTGCAGTATCACAGAATAATATTAATTACTTACATTAGTTCTTACCAGTTTAACATAAGCTGCCTTTTTTCAACATAAACTATTTGTCTAGACTACAAATCATGCTACGAGTAAATCTAAATTAGTTATACCTGCACATAGAACAATAGTAACATGGCGTTAAAGAGGATGTTTTAGTCAATCTTTAAGCATGTCTAACTTTTTGTTATTCAACGCTGTCTATTGTTTAAATTTAAATTCAAATACTTATTTGTACAATTTTGGGATGTTTAATCAGTATTGAATTGTATTAACAGAAATCTAAATTTATCGGTTGGAAAACGCATTGATTGCACAAACGGTTCTATGAAGGAAGTGCGCTTTACGATGATTCTAAATTAAGACCATGTTCTTGCAACCATGATATTAAAGCACACTTGGTCTAACTTTAATTCGTAGAATTTATGGGACAATCAATTTTCAAATTGACTCTACATTCAACTTATCAATTAGGCCAAATAAACAATAAACATAAGTGCCTTTGTATTTTGTTCTGTTGCATTTTAAATGCAGTATCTACTTGACCTAGTGGTAAAGTAATTTCAATTAAGTTTTTTAGCTACGTACGTACCTAGTTGACGTTGACTCTACGAAGAGGAATTTGTAGAATTTTCATGGATTAGGTAACCCGTATTCAGTATCTATAATTTGTTTCAAATTAAAGATTGAGATTAACCTAATTAAGGTCGTCATTAATCCATTTTGTCAATTAATCCTTGTCAATTTAGTACATAATTATTGCGCACAATCTGAAGAAAATAACACTTTGTACGATATTTATTACATTTCTTTAAGTTTATTTTTATACACACCACAAACATGTTTTTTAGTTTTGGAGGATACTCTTCAACAAAAAATACAATAAATTGTGTGTCGTATTTACTCAAATGAGCTTATTGCTTACTTTTAATGACTTAATTATTTTAAGTCCTTACTTATTTTCAGGCCTTCATTATGTAAGATTTTTTAACACAATATTAGCTCTTCTAAATTATGTAGAGCTTTTGGTATTAAACGATTATATTATGATTAGAATTGCGTAGTGATCTGCCTAGTGATCTTTTTAAAACTTGAAATTTCCTTTTTTTCAGGTTCAGGAATATTCGTCTCGCCCTCTGGGCTGTTGGAGCGCACCGGCTCAGTGGGCATAAGTTTCATCATCTGGATGGCTTGCGGCCTGCTCTCGCTACTTGGTCAGTAGTCACGTGTATCAAAACGTGTAATTACAATGCCTTTTGAAAAGACAGTATTGCTATGTTAACATTATTTACTAGAACCGCGGACGTCAACAACATTAACGGTGTCAAATTGATGTGAAACAGGAGCGCTCGCGTATGCGGAGCTGGGTACAATGAATACGTCGTCGGGTGCTGAGTACGCCTATTTCATGGACGCATTCGGCGCGCCACCCGCATTTTTGTTTTCATGGGTAATGTTTCAGATTTCGTCTTTTATTTATGTTATTAGACATTCTTAGAATATTAATACCACGTGTGTAATGTCGACAAAACTCACACCTTGAGGGTCCTAGGTTCGATTTACTTGTTGGATATACACAATAAAAACACTTGGTGTGGTGTTTTCCTGTTTGATTTGACTAACACCTTAACTGAAGGTCCGATAGAGCCTTATGTAGCGTCTGTGGTTTATAGTCCTACACCAAAGTTGTTTCAGACCACGCAAAACGTATGTCAATAATAATGCGCAAAATGAATTAATTGGTAAACACGTTTATTTCAGGTGTCGACATTGGTGCTGAAGCCGTCTCAAATGGCTATAATTTGTCTGAGTTTCGCTAAATACGCGGTTGAACCGTTTGTATCGGAGTGCGAGCCACCCAGCAGCCTCGTCAAGCTCGTCGCGGTCATTTCCATTGGTAAGACGCTCAAACGTACTTGAATCACCTTGGATCAATTGATAGTGTCAGTGTCGATAAGAATCAATAACCTATTGCCTCTATTCCAGTGATGATCTTGGCAGTGAACTGCTACAGCGTGAACCTAGCCACGAACGTGCAAAACATCTTCACGGCTGCCAAACTTGTGGCGATAGCGATTATCGTCTGCGGCGGAGCTTACAAATTAATATTAGGTAATAAATCTAAGTAACCAGGATGTAAGGATATTTTGTATTTTATGTTAAAACGATATAATTGTTAAAATATTCTAATTCACCATTTCCTCTTAATGAATGATCATTCTATCATCACGCTTTTGAATCCCGAGCCATCTTGTCCACTCGAAATTCGATATTTTCCGATTTGAATCATCACCAATACTTACCTATATTGTAATGCTAATGGGATGTAAATATTCTGTAAGACTGACGGGTGGTGTGTCCGTATGGTGCAGGTAATACGCGACATTTACAGGAGCCCAACTTCGCCAGTAGTACGGCGACTCTGGGCAACATTGCCACCGCATTCTACACCGGCCTCTGGGCCTACGACGGTTGGAATAACCTCAACTATGTGACTGAGGAAATTAAGAATCCATCCAGGTAAGACCAGCATGTTACAACTCAGAAGTCAAGCAGGTAGTTAGATTCTACTACAACATACCTAATTATTCTTGTTAGAATGTAAATATTGCATAAAATAGTTGTTATTAGATAGTAGAAATGTAGTATTCGTATTTTCAGAACTAAATGAAATCACTAACCATTAACTTATTATAAGTTTTGATCTTACATTCTCGTTGTTTTACTTCAAGTAATTAAATTTTAGCAATTATTAATTAGGTTCTACCTATTCGATTTCGTGTACCTACACGAATATCTACATACATAGGTATTATGAAAAGACGCTCACAACTCAATGCTGCAGAAACAGAGAATTTTCGTAAAAATCTTCTATCTGCTATAGCTCTTCTACTATGTGTAGTATCAGCTAAGTGCGGAAAAAGCCCAGCTAAACCAACTAATGATTTCATGGGCCTCTACTGAATAGCTGAAACATGTGCGCTGAACTAAGCTCGTAGCGCGGCCCTCGTTTGAACTTCCCACAATCATATGACCACAGGAATCTCCCACTGAGCATAATAATCGGCATCCCGCTGGTGACGCTGTGCTACGCGCTGGTGAACGTGTCTTACTTGGCCGTCATGTCGGTGAGCGAGATGGCCGACAGCGAGGCGGTGGCGGTGACGTTCGGCAACCGGCTCCTGGGGCCAATGGCGTGGCTCATGCCGCTGGCGGTCACTATATCCACGTTCGGGTCGGCTAATGGAACGCTGTTTGTTGCGGGAAGGTATGTTGATTCCACTTTTTACACGATTTTGTTCCGTAGTTCATAGCTAGAGAACTGTTTGCATGGAACCCTTAAACATAACGATAGGTTTAGGTTCACAATTGCATAAGAATTAAGAATTTCCTCAAAGCTATATGTAATGTAGAGCTTGACTGAAAATCCTTGTTGATGTGATGTCAAAGACTCTACAAGGTTTAACATCGACATTGTGGATGAAATGACTCAACTTACTCAATTCACATTACGTTAAAACGCTGACTACCTACGTTACGAGCTAAATCGAAAGACATGTAATAGGTACTTACCTACCCACACTTTTTAGTTTAATTGAATTCGGAATCGGTTGGATATTAACTTCAAACACCCCGCAGGTTGTGCTTTGCAGCATCGCGAGAAGGGCACCTGCTTGACATCCTATCATACGTCCACGTGAGACGATTCACTCCGGCTCCCGGCCTCATTTTTCATGTAAGTACTGATACTTCAGAGCACTCTGTAGTTAATTTGTCAATTTTAAAGATCTTTAGTAGCTAGTTAGCTATTATCATCTCCAAACACACCCAGACACGATTTTGACACAATAGAGAATCCATATAAGCAGGCCGGTTTTTTATATTTCGTCCAGTAGGTTCGGCTGCGTCAGCGTTTCGCGTATAATAGAGTCGCTTCATTTGCCTTGCCTCAGTAAATGAAGCGAGAAACACATCCCTCGCTACGCAACCTTGCACATCTCTGGTGGAAACGCAGCCTAAATGCCGTAAGATGTATTTCAATATTTTCTTTGAAATGTTTTTCAGTCGCTGATAGCGGTGGCCATGGTCCTGTACGGCACGATAGACTCGCTGATCGACTTCTTCTCGTTCACGGCGTGGATCTTCTACGGCGGCGCCATGCTGGCTCTGATTGTGATGAGACACACGAAGCCCCATGCACCTAGACCTTATAAGGTAATACCTCTGGTTTACTATCTCAGTATTATTTTTTGTATCCGGTAAATAAGTAAAAGTTAACTCTATAAAAATAGCATTTATGTGGACTTACTTAGTTAATTACAAAATGGCGGGTTTAACACAACGGTTTCTATCAGATGACTGTGTATCACCGTGAGTCCATGTGTTATCATGATCGTTGATCCGTCATAACTGGTCAAATGTTGTGGTATTAAGTAATTCTATGAAATGTGTTTTACTTACTGACTGCATCGACGAGTACCATGCACTGTAACGGGCTAATCTTGAACAGCAAGAAACTATAATTAAAAAAAACACTATCCTTGGAGTTAGCTAGCGGCAAAAATTTATTTGAAAATATTTTTCATGTATAACAATGTGTTGCAGGTGCCAATAATAATCCCGTATGTGGTGCTGCTCGTATCAGCATACCTGGTGGTGGCGCCCATCGTGGACAAGCCGCAGTGGGAGTACCTGTACGCCACCGCCTTCATCTTCGGCGGGCTGCTCGTCTACCTACCCTTCGTCAAGTGGGGCTACTCGCTGCCGTTCATGGGTGAGGATACTTTTTGACATGACTACGGTGTAGCTAACACTTTATTAATTAAACTCTCCTAACCCTCTCTTTTTGCGTCGGGGGTTAAAAATATTAATTAACTAATAGTCCAGTTAGTTAACCCCTCGTAATTAGCTAATGTACGGATAATATTCTGCGTTACATAAGTACTTAAAATTACTATATTTTTTAATTTATATATAAATATTAAGTTGTTTTAGGTCATTGGTCCCATGTGTAAATGACCCATTGATAAAGGTGGACAACCTCACGGTTTCAATAGTTTACGTAATATTACGTACCTTTATTTATCTAGGAACTCTTGCTCTTACACACGCGACGAGTAACTCAAGTTAATATCACCACGTTTATTTTCCGAATAAAGCTTCCGGAAGCTTATTTAGTCGCCCTAGTCAGCAAGATAATATGTATTATACTTGGTACTACTCTACATTATTTAGAGTAAATGTTAATATCGAAAGTTGTATACCTATTTTGATTATAATAATGTGATAGCACTTTTCTTATAATGAAATTACTTGTTTCAGATAAAATTACAGTTTTTCTGCAAATGGTACTGGAGGTGGTACCGACGTCGACAACCTTTGAATATTAAGTCTCTGCTAGACTTTAAAAAGCATTTGTGACAAAGATAGACATTATCATAATATTACAATACATTACTACTACCTACTTGAATATTTTGTTAGTAAGATCATTTTCAATGTTGGTGTTGCATCTTAGAGCCAATTTCAAGAGATGAATATTCGTAGATATAAAATTAAAAATTGGAGAGAACTATGCCAAAAAATAAATTGGTTGTTGTATTTTTTGACTGAAACATGTTCCTTGGCCATATTTTCATTAGGAAACGAGACCCATTTCGTATTTTAAAATAAATTTGTTATGTATTCCGAATTACTTACTTATTGTTATGTCTCAATTAATTAAATTGTGAAAATTTGATAGAAACTTTACATAAAATTTAATAACAGTTTCCAACAGGGTGAAGGAGGCAGTTTAATTTTGATAAAATACGATGTACTTTTATGTTTTTAAATTGTTAATAAAATTTACACGAAACATAGCGCTACGAATTTAAATTAAATAGCTAGAAGGAAAGAATTTATTGTAAAGCGTAAAATTTTTAATTGATTCTTTACAAATTGGTTCACGATAACCGCATGAGGTTTAATACTCAACTTTCATTCATTATGCACAAGTTTCTCTGCATTGCATTTTTTAAGTTGCCTCCTTCTTCCGATACGTCAAAAAATAGAGACGATATTGCTTACAAACTTTGAAGGTCGTTATAATTTTATAATATTATTTTTTATCTTCGTTACTCTTTTATTTTTAAGCCGACTAGCGGCATTTGTGAATCTTTAGATTAGTATTTTCATTGTTCATTTCGTTAGTTTGCACGAATCATTCCCGTGAGGGTCAGGCGAAGCGAGGTACGCAAGACTAAGTGGTTGTCTAGACGGCTCCCCATGGATTACATACTTTGGAATTGCGTCTCTTTACGAATCTCGTTAGCCTTGGAGCCCTATTCGTGTAACTATGAGTGATTGTGCTAAACTCATAGTCAGTAGTTCATCTCATCATAGTCGACCTTAGAATTGAAAAATACAGTAAAATTATAGTAATGTGTTAATTAATTTATTCTTTATTTTGCGGTTGTTTACTCACATTACATGGGATAGCAAATGTAACGCGTTGTTATGCTTTAACTCCAGTTTACTTTTGCTAAGTACTCTACCTAAGATATTTAGCATGCTTCTAAAGACAATTGCATGCGTTTTGGAAGCAATGTGCTTGTTCGCATTGGAATAAACGAAAGTTATATGAATCTGATATAGAACAGATCTTATGAAACTGGAGTAATTATTATTATTGTTAGGCTATCCCATTTTAAAGACTTAAGTGTGTTTTTTCTAACGATTTTAAGCATGTCTGACAGTTGAGCTTTGCGACCGGTAAAATTTGGTCCTATCATTCCTTGCCGGGGCAAAATGACCTGTCGACATCTCGTTCTTATAAAGTTATTTTTATATTTTATTAATGTAATTATAATTTTGTCAGAGATTATTTTGAAAACTCAATTAATATATGGGTTAGTGAAGTTACGTATAGTAACATTGTGCTTAGTTGATGCGTTGCCTGTAGAGTTAACTATTCGCGTAAACAGCGATGAATATAAAAATATATGTATTGTTTTACGAAAAAAACGGGCACATAATAAGTACACACCTCTAACGATGTGATATTGTTATGGGTAAAACTAATGGTTTTATTTTGTGTACAGAAATATCAATGAATGAATATGTACTACATAAATGTAACCTACTTTATCTATGTACTTATCTCTGAAAGAGAACAGAAATTAAATATTTATTGTTATACACTACCATTGAATGAAATGAAATTTTAAATAAAGACGACTTAAAATAAATGATAGCGTTCTTATTTGATAAAAACCCATGAAAAGTAGTTCCTTTTAAACCTTACTTAGAATAAGAGTTCGGTGTAAGTTTAAATTAAAAGTCAGTTGTATGTTCAACAATCAATATTTATTGTTGTGAAATTACACAAAGATCACAGATCTTTGACCATGTCAATACCATTAATTAAGTATTTTGGTAAAAGTGTTAACTGTCTGTATGCAGATACATTCAACTGAGTGTTTTAACTAATTAACATGTAGGACGTAGGTACAATGTTAAAGTTATCTGTAGATATACATTTAACAATCTATTGTCTCTAAGTTTTCTAAGTCGATGTATGCATAGCTATCACACTGGACGTTTTCTAAATGCGACTAAATAATAACATTAAAGTCATGCTAATAAGACTACAGTTCATTTACAAATCAAAGTAAAATTAGTCATAGTTTAAACAGATCTAAGTCGGTCAAGGCTTGATAGGTGGGATTGAAGAGCCAAAATAGTCACTAAATGGTACCATCTGACTTAGATTCGCTTTGCTTTTAAAAAGCTTTTTACTGGATATTCACACGGTAAAATATAATAAAACTTTAGGATATATTTTATACACTACTAAGGGCCGATTTTTCAATAACTAGGCATTTTTTATCTGATGAATAAGTGATGTTTTTGGCAAAACTTTCAACTTTTTTCTTCAGACAAAAATTAACTGGCAATTGAAAAATCGGCCCTTATTCAGACTTAGAATCTAAGATGCGGCTTATTCTTCATCATGTGCCTGAAACAATAGAGATAACATGTAAGTTGAGGGTGACTAAGTGAGAATTAGATTTTGAAGACGAATGCGCAATAAACGGCCGAATACTGAAACGCCATTTAAATATTTGACGGCTTCTCAAATAGTTAAGCAGCTCCTAAACTTACATTTCGCATACTCAAAACAATATCTGAGCAGTTCTCAATTTTTAAGCACCTCTCAAATTAAGTTGCACTCAAACGCCACTTAAATGAATTTTCGCATACTGAAACGCCATTCAACGCTAAGCACTACTCAAACAACTGTCAAATCGTCTTAAGCAGCTGTTAAATTTGAGAGTGCTTGCGCGGTATCTTAAATCCTATTCGCGCCACGTTCGCGTCCAGTTGCATCTCGTATATGACGCGGTGTTAGGGATAGTGACAAGCGACAGGTGAGCACACTTACTTGTCGAGCGTCTCCCAGAAGCCGAGCAGCACGGCGCGGTCGAGATGGCGCTTGGTGCGGCTGAGGTTGAGCACGGACACGGCCCAGCGCGCCACGTTCGCGTCCAGTTGCATCTCGTATATGACGCGGTGTTAGGGATAGTGACAAGCGACAGGTGAGCACACTTACTTGTCGAGCGTCTCCCAGAAGCCGAGCAGCACGGCGCGGTCGAGATGGCGCTTGGTGCGGCTGAGGTTGAGCACGGACACGGCCCAGCGCGCCACGTTCGCGTCCAGTTTCATCTCGTCGTACTTCAGATGGAAGGCACAGACTGGAACAATGATTAAAATTGTAGCATGCCACCAATGCATTTGTTTGGTCCTTTAATTATACTTAATTGAAAGATTACACGTGTCTTATATTAGATAAAGCATATTGGCTACAGTAGCGACTATAATAGAATTTATGAGTGCAAAAATAAAGTACAGAAAACAATTTTGCATTTTGGTTTGGTTTTTATATTTGTCTGAGCCCATACTAAGCAGATAATCGAACGCACAGCGTTGAACAGAGCTCTGTGATTGGTTCGTGTCACCCTGTGCGTCCACGCGCACTGTGAGACCTCAAAGTAATGTTTTTGAATACGGGCGTTAGAGTCATAAATCAAACAATGAGTACTCACTGTTAGCAAATATTTGAACTGGATTTCCGTCCCATGGCCAGCCCTTGAACTGCCAAGCTGGACCTTGCACGAACACAGCGACAACCCGATCCCATTCTGCGGCTGACAATCTTCCTGGGTTGTCCACAACACGATAAGGTACCTGTGAATAGAAATAAAAATGTTAAGACATGAAATATATTTGACGATGGCCGTTGCGGCAGGAAAGTTCTCGAGTGGCGACCACGGGCTGGAAGACGTAGCGTGGTAAGGATCGCGGGAAGACCCTGGATGCGGGCAGCGCAGGACCGTTCATTGTGGCAAACCTTGGGGGAGAGCTTTGTCCAGCAGTGGACGTCATTTGGCTGAGACGAACGAACGATGAAATATATTTGACATCCAGAACCCAATTTAATTGTTGCGGAAATGTATTAGGTATACCTAAAGCTGACGGTTTATTTAAGAGTTAAATAATAGTCAAGAAGGAAGGTATATAAAAATTCTTACCGTGGTTGTATTTGCTGCAGTCGGTGGGTGATCACCAGAGGCACCTTTCCTCCTTTGCAGCAATATTTCATTTTCACGGGCCGAACCTTCCGCTTTCTTCTGTTCCACTGGCACGAATCTGTAAATAATAAAAAACTTAAGTTTTGGGTAAAAGTTAAATTGGCAAAAAAAGTCTATTGGTATGAACACATGACAGAAATTATCTCCTAAAATAAGATGGGTATGTTTTAGTCCACACTGCACACTCTATAATTTATCAGAGACAAATGGAGGATTGTACCTACACTCCCCACACTTGCCCAGATGGGTTGTGGAGGTCAGATTTTAGCATAATTTGTACCTTAGTATTTTTTTTACATCCACAGGTACTATTTATATTATGTGGTATTATTTATTAATAACATGGTAACAGTATATTACTCACTTGAGTTCCTGCAGCATGTCTTTGACGTTGTACATGGATATGAGCGAGGTGGCCGCAGCCGGTATGATGATGATGGGTGTGCGCGAGGGCCGCTTGCCGCCCGGAGGAGGCCGCGCCGCCGTCACCGGCAGTAACTCTCGCCTTCCCGGCGTACCGTTCGGTAAAGAATTGTTTTCTGCAAACAAAAACACATGACATTCAAATTAATTCATAGCTAAATTAATAAACTCACGAATCGCTTTCANCCAGTTTCATCTCGTCGTACTTCAGATGGAAGGCACAGACTGGAACAATGATTAAAATTGTAGCATGCCACCAATGCATTTGTTTGGTCCTTTAATTATACTTAATTGAAAGATTACACGTGTCTTATATTAGATAAAGCATATTGGCTACAGTAGCGACTATAATAGAATTTATGAGTGCAAAAATAAAGTACAGAAAACAATTTTGCATTTTGGTTTGGTTTTTATATTTGTCTGAGCCCATACTAAGCAGATAATCGAACGCACAGCGTTGAACAGAGCTCTGTGATTGGTTCGTGTCACCCTGTGCGTCCACGCGCACTGTGAGACCTCAAAGTAATGTTTTTGAATACGGGCGTTAGAGTCATAAATCAAACAATGAGTACTCACTGTTAGCAAATATTTGAACTGGATTTCCGTCCCATGGCCAGCCCTTGAACTGCCAAGCTGGACCTTGCACGAACACAGCGACAACCCGATCCCATTCTGCGGCTGACAATCTTCCTGGGTTGTCCACAACACGATAAGGTACCTGTGAATAGAAATAAAAATGTTAAGACATGAAATATATTTGACGATGGCCGTTGCGGCAGGAAAGTTCTCGAGTGGCGACCACGGGCTGGAAGACGTAGCGTGGTAAGGATCGCGGGAAGACCCTGGATGCGGGCAGCGCAGGACCGTTCATTGTGGCAAACCTTGGGGGAGAGCTTTGTCCAGCAGTGGACGTCATTTGGCTGAGACGAACGAACGATGAAATATATTTGACATCCAGAACCCAATTTAATTGTTGCGGAAATGTATTAGGTATACCTAAAGCTGACGGTTTATTTAAGAGTTAAATAATAGTCAAGAAGGAAGGTATATAAAAATTCTTACCGTGGTTGTATTTGCTGCAGTCGGTGGGTGATCACCAGAGGCACCTTTCCTCCTTTGCAGCAATATTTCATTTTCACGGGCCGAACCTTCCGCTTTCTTCTGTTCCACTGGCACGAATCTGTAAATAATAAAAAACTTAAGTTTTGGGTAAAAGTTAAATTGGCAAAAAAAGTCTATTGGTATGAACACATGACAGAAATTATCTCCTAAAATAAGATGGGTATGTTTTAGTCCACACTGCACACTCTATAATTTATCAGAGACAAATGGAGGATTGTACCTACACTCCCCACACTTGCCCAGATGGGTTGTGGAGGTCAGATTTTAGCATAATTTGTACCTTAGTATTTTTTTTACATCCACAGGTACTATTTATATTATGTGGTATTATTTATTAATAACATGGTAACAGTATATTACTCACTTGAGTTCCTGCAGCATGTCTTTGACGTTGTACATGGATATGAGCGAGGTGGCCGCAGCCGGTATGATGATGATGGGTGTGCGCGAGGGCCGCTTGCCGCCCGGAGGAGGCCGCGCCGCCGTCACCGGCAGTAACTCTCGCCTTCCCGGCGTACCGTTCGGTAAAGAATTGTTTTCTGCAAACAAAAACACATGACATTCAAATTAATTCATAGCTAAATTAATAAACTCACGAATCGCTTTCATGCATGGTTCATTACTGTGTAAGTAATGAATAAACATGATGAAGCATGTTAAGCTATCGTCACATTGGACTGGTTGATCGATTCGAAAATTTCGAGCGGAATTTGTTCTCTATTGGAGTCCCCTACTGGAGTATTGTGGTTTAATTTATTACACAATCAACACAATCTATTCTATTATCTAATATTTATAGGAATATGAAATGCATGAAGGAAAAAAGGAGGAAGGAAAGGAAGGAAGGAAAAATTTATTTTTGTATTATAAAGAAAAAAACAGAATACTTACGCGACATCTGGCGAGGGTGTGTAGGCGTTTGCGGAGCTCGCGCTGCGACGGGCACACTGGGACCTTCCGTCACTGATTTCAGGGTCATACCGTGATATGTACCCATAGTATCGATTTTGAACCCTTCCGTCTCTGCAATAAGAAACATTAAATAGTACAACATATTCTATAAAATCTAAAGAACACCTTAATGTTACATATAAAATGATTACACACCTTCTTTTTGTCTAATAAATCTTTCCTGATCGTATCTGTTATACTGAGCTTGCTGAGCTGGTAAAGCAGTGGGAGGTGGCATGACAACCGGCTGTGGTCTTGGAGCCCCTGGCCTGCCCTCTTCACGGGCTTTTATACTGCTTAGCAGTGCATGAATACTTTTGGCAAACATCTAAACAAGAAAAGCTTTATGTTAAATAGATACACAATTACAGATATTATCATTTTTTGGTGGTGTACAAAATATTGCACACAAGCATGCAATGCTTCTTCGTAAATCGTAAAGGTAGCAGGGAAGCGCTGGATGCAGGCCGCTCGATCAACGTGGAAAGCATTAGGGGAGGCCTATGTTCAGCAGTGGACGTCCTATGGCTGAAATGATGATGATGATGCAATGCTTCTTAGACAATGTAATATTTACCCATTTTTTTTAAGTGACTGATAATAATGTTTTATCTCTCACCTTAATATTTAAATATTAAACAACATTATTAAACATACCTTTCCATTACTTTGTAAAACTGTGGTCCTAGTTCTCCACTGCCTTTCACGACTGATAATGTCTTTAGTGAGGTCAACATCATAGTCTAGGATTGCACGCAAGTCTGAACCAACCACTCCCAATGTGTCTGAATAGTCATTGCTCTTGATAGTTGTCCTTTTTTTAGCTAAACGTTTTGCTTTGATAGCTGCAATTTTTTCCACTGACATAGCTTCAGATAAAGACCTAGTAAAGTAAAAAATATATATAATTAGAATAGATCATTACCAACACTTTTGTTCAATGTTTAAAAATATTTATATCTCACTTACTTAATATTGTCAACGGTGACTGATGCTTCCTTTGGTGCATCAAGACGTGCAGCAAGTTGCTCTCGAACTTTTTGCACATGTGTCTCCTCAATACGAGGTTTTTTAGCCGCTGATTCTCCCCCATCATTGTCATGTGTGCGCTTTACCTATTGGACCATTGTGATTAATAAAGATGTTTCAGGAAGGTTCAAAAGTTGATTAATTTTGCCAAACTCGAAAAAGGTAACTGCTTTATATGGTTGTAAATTTATCATTACATTCACTGGAATCAACTTGAAACTTATTTCAAATGTAAAGGATTCATATCCAATAAGAATTAAACAGAACTTTGTAAAGTAAGATTCTCATAGCCTTCATAAACAAAATAATTAATATTTAATCACTTTGTGCAAAAAATTCAATGATAACTATTTGGGACAATTATTAATGATGGACAGCGAAAAGTCTGAACATTATGAAAGAGAAAGGCAAAATTAAATGTATGCTTACCTGAGTTGGAATTTCTAGTGGCGCACTTTTGTCTATAGAGGCACAAGTAGCAGTTTCTCCATTCAAATAAGCCAACAGCTCTTTACGATCTGGGCGACGCACTGCAGGAATGTTTGCCGCCTACAAAAAAATACCACGATTTGTTGATTTGTTCTTTCATGAGTAAAGTTTCAGTTGAGCTGTGGTGAGAGTTTACTTACAGCTGCTTGTCTGACGTAAACTGGATGGGTAAGTTGTGTGTTTTTGAGAAAGAAAAGCAGACATTCCAATGTATAATATTCTTTAACACTTCCTTCTTTCCCCGATCTAAAACATAGTAAGGTAATAAAAATTAACAAATTATCTACCAAATGAACTAACACGGACGTGGTAAGCACATATCAATAATACCAATTCTTCTTGATTACTTACCCATACATAAGATAGTTTGTTTTAACATTTTTCGGCCACGAAAATTCACCAAATATAATTTGATTATCGCGCTCTATTATTTCTTTTTTATTTACATTATACTGGCGAAGTAAGCTGAGAGGATCCGCCATGATTACGTTTTTGATTTATTATTCACACTATAGTCACTAACAATCAAAATTAATAACCGCACTAAAGTCTAACATTCACCAGCTTGGATAAACAAGTAATTCATTATTTACCACACGACACGTTATCAGTAAAAACTATTGAACTCGCTCGCTTGCGCCTGCGAAACACCACGACAAATAAATAATCTCCATTTTGAATCAATTTTGCCAACATAGAGAAGAAAAAATAGTGTTCAGCAAAGTTGCAGCCAAAAATTCTACTATTTATTTGACATCGGTACACAAAAAAGTCGTCACTATAACCATTGCATTATCCACAACATGGATAAAATCTGTCGCATTAACTTTCTGTAACGCCATCTAGTATTACATAGAATAACTACATTGTCTTAAAGATTAGCTTTATTTCGTATAGATGGCGCTGGTATACTAGATATTTTCTAAAATTGCAAATTGTTTCTAAACATGGCTGCCGGTCAGATCTTCATTTATTGATATTTTTGTGAATAGTATATTATTTTTTAATATTTTATTCTTATGAACCGTGTCAGAAGTGATAATATGCCATAGTGGATCTAAAATTACTTACACAATGACTTCTACTCCCAAGACTGAGAAATGCGGACAAGGTAAGCTATGCGTAACATTCTGCATTTTCATCTTTCAATTGTACCTAATTTCGCTGTTTCAAACTGACTTTCTAACATAAATGATTATAAGTTTTTTATTAGAAATGATTGTCGTGCTAAAAATCTTAAATAATTTGTGTGTAAACTAATTGAAACATTATTGACAAAATTAAAAAATTGAGACAAGCTCAGAAAAGAAAAACTAAAACAAAAAAACATCATTGATTAACTCACGTACCTACTTCTGTAATTTATTGCTCGATTTTTAAAGCTGTTTATTATGCTCCTGACATTAGCTTAGTCTTAGTGTTAAGAATTTGCTTACTTGTCCAAAGTTCCAAAATGAGTCATTATTTCTAATTTATTGAAAGCTTGAGAGTAAGTATACCTATGTACTTAATTAATATTTTTAATACAAGTAGCATCTGGTTAAAAACAAGTCAAACAGATTAGCAAAGATTAATACACAATATTTTGTTTTGATAGTAGGTATGCTATGGTAATTTTATATGTATAAATATGTAGGTATAAATTATTCTTATTTTCTCTTTCCTTCTCCATTCCCTACATGGATCTATACAACCTAATGCCAATAATTTTGTCTTGAACAACTTGTGCTTAGTTACTTATTTTCTTAAAGACATAAAATTAATAGTAAACTGATTGGAGCGTTGTGTTGTGATATTTTTCTTAACCCTCCTTTTCGGTTAAAAGACCCTCAAAGCTGGACAAAGGCCTCTCTCAACTTCTCTACAAAGAATTTTTAATATATTATTTTAAATTACGGAAATATTTTTCTGAATTCGTTATTCAATAGACAATTTATAATATAAATGTAATATTATGTATTTTCCAGAATAAAAAAATGAAAAATATTGTAGTTTTATGTCAGTCATTCTTCTTGACCCTTAGTTAAAATAAATAGTTTCTGTGTTAAATCACATATTCATATTGTAATTATTATAGGAAATAACAAATTTTCCTTATGTAGATTCCTACACTATCTGTTGAAATTATTTCCCATGAACAGTAACATTATTGTGTAAATTGAATGTTAAACTTTAATTTAATTTTAATTCAATATTTAATATTAAGAAGTCTAACTTGTAGATTTTCATCATAATTTGTAAACAAAATCCAAGCAGTTTCCACGAGCCCCCATGTAAAAATTGATGTCAATTATGTTATGTTATGCAAGACCATGTAAAAATTGATGTCTATTATGTTATGTGTGATATTAAATAACATAGTTGTCGCTGTGCTCTTTGTCTGATGATAATTCAAGAATGTGCAAGATGTAGGTACCTACCTACCTAATTGCTAGTATGATTTTGTGTTTTTTCTAGGTCAAATTGTTTTTAAGGTCATCATCCTAGGCCCGAAAAGTGAACCACTGATTGAATACAAAATAATAATGTAGTTACAAAATCAAAATCAAAATCAAAAATATTTATTCAGTTTAGACCACAAGTGGCACTTATGACATACATATTGCAAACATTATATTTTGTGCCTATATTATACCATTCGTAATAGTGATCAGAATAGTTCTGCTAGTCCACGTTTGAATACGTTTATGGGAAGAGTGACCGAGCGCAGCATCCGGCGCGCGCGCAAGCCCGCTATTTGTTCTGTCCCACTTGAGCGAAACGCTTATCCATGATGTTAAATATTTGTGTGGGTACCTACTCACTTCAATGGACGACTTGAACGCTTGTAGAAGGATTCAAATCTAGAGTTAATTTAATTAATCTATTCATTACAGAATTTACAAGTGCAATAACAAAATACTACCTACCTAGTTCGTTCGTTTCAGCCGAATGACGTCCATTGCTGGACAAAGGCCTCCCCCAACCTACCTAGGTACATTTGATAATATAGTTCCTATAAATGTCATGAAATAAAACCGCGTACCTATTAATTTTAATATTTACGAGGAAGTAATGTTACAATTTGTGAAAATTGACACATACGAATAAGGAAACAGGCTTTCCTGAATGATATTTACACTATCGCACACAAATATTAGGTAGGTAATATGATATTTCATATTAGTATCATACGATGATAACCTGGAGGATGATAAATAATGAATCGCCTCACCAAACTTCGTGGTTGATTACGTTTGATTCAGTCAGTAACTTCTTAGTTCGCCAAGGTACGACGACTAGGGGACGTACCTACCTACCTACGTAGCTATTATGTTGTTTGAGTTTCTTTTCAATTGAGAAAGTTCTCTTCATCGTGTTTCCCCAGGCATTTAATTGTCCGTGAAGTGTGAAGTCCTACAAGACAACAGCAATGCAAGTCAATGTGTGAAAATAATAAATGTTTTTCGATAAGATTTACAAGCCTCTCCATAAAAATATAATTTTCGTTGATCGGTAGCAACACATCGAATGCTGCAACTTTGCTTTATCTTTAACATACCTTAACTCTACATACCTTACTTGTAATAAGTTGACATCTAAATGCAGCGCTTCGCGAAAATCCCAGATCGTAACGGGGCAGAACTCTATAGAATTAGACATTCCTTTCGCGGTGCAGGGCCAGCTGGCTGCGAAGTACCTATGCCGGTCATTGCCTCAATTCATTTCCATCAATAGATCTTATTTCTTTCCATAGGAATTTTGTTATTTCTTATGTTATTTTAAACTAGAATGCTCTTGAGACTTTAATTTCTTCGACGGCTAATTGCTGACGAAATCATAGTGTTCAATGGCATACCATAGGAAAGGGATCTTTGCCATCGCGATTTAGGTTACAGAACATTACAGAGTCTTCTGTAACTGCATTCTGTTCCTTGTATTTTTATACGCTGGCATTTTTTTCGGACTATTTTTGAGCTACGACAAGGAAATTTAGTGAATATACTCAATCTTAAATTATGTAGAGTCATAATATTATGTTGAGTCATCATGTCATTTCAACGATGTTTACTGAGAGCTCTTGCCCGACATAGGATTATCGTCTCTGCATGCCTGAAAATGCAATGTAATAATACCAGCAAAACGCTTCCTAGTTTCTTGTGCCCTGGCACATCTACAGAGGCGATCTGTGGCACTGTAACGGGACTTAGCCCGAGTCGCGGTTTCGCGACGTGCCGAACAATCTATTTCCCTCATAATGATTACATAGTACCTCTATACTTGAAGCGTGTATTTACTGTCAAAGATATTAATTACTACAATTAAATAAGATTTTCACCAATAGCTTTTATGAAATAAACGCTCTAGCTTTTTTGTTGTGTGCTGCTGCATAAAGGCACAGTTACTTATAGCAAATACTAACATTACGAGATTCTCTCGTATGTCGTAAGTTTGTAAATGATATTGAAACCAATTTTAAACTTTGTAGTCGTTAGAAACCATTTATTTTAAAGACCTCTATCTTGCCCGTCAAATCATCTATGATTGCGTATCCGTTCATGTTCAAATAAGTATGGACGCAGCTTATGCAATTGTTTTGAGATTAACCTTTGAGCAATAAATAAATTGCAGCATTCGCTGCGCTGTAATAAATGAAATGTGATATGATGTCCATAGAATGTGGTCGACAAACATTTTCTGTAAGTTATTCTGGACCTGTTGGTGCTGTGACACATTTCTACGCCGTAATGCTCATCTGAACACAGAAACCCGTTATGAGGAACCCATTTGCGCTTACCACATGTTGCCTCGATTACCTCAAGCTATTTACATAACGTCTTCTATGCAAATGTTCATTTGAATGCGCCAATTCAATTCTCCTCTGTGTATCTAGTTCAATCTAGTCATTACAGTTTTGATTTGAAGTGCATATGCATATCGTATGTATAAGGTCACCTCGGGAAGATTGGTGATTACCTAATAGCTTTTGTCCGCGTCTTTGCGTTAATATTAATGTCACAGAGAGTTTTTATAGCGCACGTCCTTCCAAGTGTTTCTTGTCACGAATCTCTCTATCTATTGGTAAAAACCGCATGAAAATCCGAAAATGGAAATAAACTGGCTACATTATTTGCGATAGCTGATCATTATAGAGCAGCTATTAACGGTCACATTATAAATGAATCTAAATCTCAGTCTGATAATTAAAAAAAGCGTAATTGAAATGTAATCGTGAGAACTTATGGATAACTTTAATACACACCAATTATGTTCAGTTAAAAGAATTGACAAATTACTGTTGAAAGGATTTTGACCTTCGGCGCATAAGATGTGTTTAATAGGTTCTCGAGGGAGCCTTCAATAAAACTTCACACGAGTGTGGCCTTCCTGTTATTGATATGATTGACTGTTACCATTGTTATGGTCGCGAACACGAGATGAACTCGTGAATTAACAAAAAAATTACTTCACTACTGAATTGCTAACACCAATTCTGGCTGGTCAGATAAATTATTTGCGTTACATTTTGTCTCTGCTAGTTGTACGGGACTTGAAACGTGATGTTCTTTTTTCATGTCCTCGTTCGCTCACGACGTTGCTCCAAAGTGCAACGTAATTCGTTTTATCATTAGGTACTGTTTTCTTGTTGCATAGAGTCGTGACGAGTTCTTCAGACACTGTACTATTGAGCAAACTTAGTAACAATATGGTATGTTTTCGTAATTCTTTCAACTTGAAATAAATATTCAAGCTGGTTTTGTTAGCGATTTCACTTAAGACATTGACTAAGGTTGGTCAACATGGTCGTGAAAACAATTTTCGTTGATGATCTGCAATATATCTAAGAAAAGAAGGCAATAATACTTTGTGTTGATGTAATAATCGGGCAAGCAACTCGAAGTGTATGATCCCGTTAGGTTAGGTAGCTAGACTAGCTAGCTATCTAAAGCCGGGCTAGTTTATTGGAAAGTGAGTTGCACGGACCGTGGCTGGGTAGCGTGAAACTCTATGCTCTCTGTAGATTGATAAAAAAAAACATCATTATAGGTACCTACTCATTATTACATCCATCAAAGTAACAGATAAATGGCTAAATTATCACAATTAAAGATGTATAGCATTTAAAGCATAATACACGTTAATAGATATGTATGATGAATATCAGTTTGTTTCATTCTTACTAGGTAGTAATCTTCCGTTATTTCGGACTAACCGTTCTGTGTTGCTAGGCCTCCTCGCGTTGATTGTCCTGAGAATAATTATCATGGTCTATAAAAGTTTGGCAGTTCCATGAGTAGTCCCAGAAAGATAGGCAGCGCTACTTTTGTTATAAAAGCACCGTCAAACATAGACTATCATGACTTGCGGTTATTTTATTGCTTTGTTTTGTCAACGATTACCACAGCTTTCTCAAGAATTTCTGATCTTTAGGCGTCTTATGTTAATTGGCCACGCTGAACAGGGTTCAGTGTTCACACGAACTGAACATTTAGATATTGCTGTCAATAAACCGTGACAAGTGCATGTCGGTTGCGTGCTCTATACCCGTTACTAGGCAGTTCACAGATGGCATTGCATGTAGCCCTGGCGCAAACTGCTAATGGTCAAGTGACACAGATCTCTAACACACTTCTTACTGTGCTATTGCCTACTTACACTTGTATGTAAATGCACACTAGATTTACCAATCATGGTCTTTGGCTTAGGTGTAACTAAATCCTACGTAGATGTGTAGGTTGTGATTAATATTCCGTTTTTTTATTAGGTTCATTCAGAAAAAATAAATGGAAAGTTGCTCTGAATTAAAAATGAAGAGGCTAATTCTAGACTCCTTCGGCATTTTGGTAAAATATGTATTTGAAGTTTTTCTGTTCAGATAGGTAGAGAAAATGTCCAACCGCTGCAACTCCTGTGTAGCCAGGATCTACAGCACGACTTCCAATAAAACTGCAAGTAATGTATCTAGATTCGATCTGCTCACTTTGTGGAAATATGTATAGATGGTATTGGTAGGCCATACTATACTCACATAAAGATTTGTTTATTAATCTACAACATTGTTTACAAGGTTAGGTAATTATTAAAATAATTTATTGAGATACATTGTTAACATATTTATAATTAGTTACACAGCCAGCATACCTTATTGAGAACAGCAAGGTCGGTTTCTTCTTGCAATGTAATTTCGATTTAATTTAAAGCGGTTCTGAACTACTTTCGGAATTTCAGGAACGTAATTTCGAATTTTTTATACCGTACCCCTTAACCGCACATTCAGGTTTTATCCTATTTTTTTCGAAATGTAGAGTCGAATGCATTTCTTTTGTAAATAATTATCTACCTGTTATTTTGTTATATTCCAATACAAAAAAGGATAAACATTAAACACAAATAGAGTGCATTACTCACGTACATCCTTTTTTCGAACTAATTAGTGGAATTAACTATTAGGTTACCTACCTAATCTAGGGCAAGGTGATAACGGAGTTTAGTAGGTTTTGTTTTGAATTAAATATTTTAAAAGTCACGTATTGTTGCAGACTTGTTGTAAAGCGGCGTATTTCGTCAATATCATTGCAAATGTCCTCCGGTGCTTCGAAACAGTTACTTACATTAGTTACATTACCGTGTAGGAAGAGATTACGGTTGTTAGGTAACGATCACAAATTAGCGGAGAATCGGTCAATTGTAGGGACAGGTGTGCGCGGGCGCAGTCGGCGGAGATGCCTGGTGGAGCCAACACTTTCACTCTCGGCGACAGCAGCCCAGCCTGCCAGTGCTGCCGCGCCGCCGCCCTCGGCCGACCGCTTGCTTGCTCGGGCGCACGGGCCACTGCGATCGATCGGCACCCCGTGTCAATCTTATGCTTCGTTGCGCATGGGCTCGCCAACTCGTTGCTCTGCTGAATATCGAGATCGTGTTGTGAAAAACTCATGGTTATTTTTAGTTCTGCCGTGTCGTCCGTTCGATGTGGTTATCCATGGCATTTCGGAGCGAAAACCTTCAGTTTTCTAAATTTTCATTACTTTTAAGCGATAGTAAAAAATAACAATATTGTGTTTTATAGAAATTGTGTTGTGTCATAGCGTGTAATAATTGTGCTGACAGGTGAAAACACAGGTGTCCAAAATCAAGTGACGGAAACCCAGAGAAAGTCGTTAATTCCGCTATTCAATTTCTAAGTTTGTTTAGCTAGTGTAAACATCAACTATTGAGGTTTCGTAACCCAAGTCGCCATTGTAAGAAATCTTGAGTAATGATGTACATATTTGTTAATTTAAATACGTCCAACTAGAACACGGAATACCAATTGGGCAGATACAGATTCATGTGACGTTTGGAGTGGTGTCCAATTTTGTAGTGTCAAGGTTGTCGGGTCAGACAGACGGACTGAACAGCAGCAATCTGTAGCGAGCTGCGGCGCGTGATGCGCATATGACGAGCGTCACGACGCTCACTGTAAATAAATAATGACCTAATTGTACATACGAAACTCGCTATTTCTGAGGCTGACTTACATCGTAACAAGGTAAAGTCTTGTTTTATCAGTGTCTCGCTTGTGATCCTGATATTTTATTTTCGACAAAGCTCTAAGCTATTATGTCGCTGACAGGTGCCGACAAATAATGCGGCACCGTATTTAAACTCGGACAAAATGCCACATTACGACGAAAGTTTTATATACGATGACAATCAAAACCAACGAAGAAATAAAAGAAGTTATCGGGTGTATAAAAATGGTCTAAGCCCGATAAACTTTTTAGAATCGAACGATGTATTTCATAATCTCGAAGAGAGAGGAACGTCAGTTCTGAAAAATAACATAAAAAACATTAAACATCGAAATAACCGTAAGGTAGAGTCTTTAGTACAAAATAGAAATACACAGTACAAGACACCAGACATAATAGTAGACCACTGTCCACGGATTAGTGTGTTTGATCCAAGTAAATTAATTATTGATATAAGGAATAATAATAAATCACTAACACCTTGTAAAAGTTTTGATAATCTGACGATCAAACCTGTGAAGAAGAATGATGTGAGAAGAGAGAAGATTCGAAATGGATTCAGCCTGCAAAATTTATTGGATGACGGGAAATTGAAACATTACGTCTCCCCTTCAGAAGATATTTCAGTGGCAACGCGGAGTGATGATGTTAAAAATTCATACTCCGTCGTGGATGCGCGTCGTCGCCCCTTGCAGCGACGCATACTGAGGAGCGCGCCCGCGCCCGGAGTCGGCGTGTACCGCCAGATCAGCGGGGAAAGACACGCGGCAGTCAATAATGTCCACGGTAACTAATTAATACATAATATAAAGACATAAATCCAGTATTCTTGACATCCATGATCCATATGGATTTCTGTCACTCACTCATTTAACATGTTTACACTGACTGTTGCACATTGTAAGAAAGTAAAAAATAATATACCTACGTATCTTTTCACAACTAAAATACAAAAAGAAAAACAATTAATTAACAATTGCTTCGATTAAATCTACGATTACTCTAGTAATGTGATATTAATTTTGTTTATTAGCAGTGCCAATCACGATAATATCGTAGTTTTATTTACAGGCGTTATGTCTCAGTTCAACTCTATCCCTTCACTAAATTCAAAAATGGTAGGTAAATTACATTAATTTATAATTTAAGGTTTTCTACAAATTTTCCCGTCTTCATTCGTTTTAAATGTCGATTAAGTATAAGGTTATGTATGTCAAGGTTTATATTTTTATATTGTCAACCTGATTCAGCGTTCTCATGACGGCATAATGGTTCATATTAATTTTGATTGCTTTCGTTCGGCCTTTAGCAGGTTCTCATCTCATGAATCAAATACAAATACTTAACGATGTTTAAGTTTTTCTCGTGTAGTTGAAACAGGGAAAAGGTTAAATTAGCAGCCGGAGTTTACTAAACCGTAAACGATTTATCGTAATAAGTATGACTGACAATCTACATGCGTAACGTGATGGGCGGACTCATTGCCGTATTGCAAAATTGAAAGTCGGACGTAACTAGATAACTATGCTCTATTTCCACACAGCGAAACGGAAGAGAATGCAGCCTGGAGAGCTTTCGGTTTTTCTTCCTTGTTCGTGTAGCTGCGCTTTGTAAAGAGCTAAGCTAGTGCATCTAATGAAATGCTTGATCTTGTATAACAAGGCGTAAGAGACGCGGGAAACCACACCATTGTGTCCATATTCCATTGTTGCGATAATGTTAAGGCCGTACACAAAAACTGTGTTGAATAATACCCCCTGAATACTATTACTTCTTCTCAAGTAGTATCGATTGCCGCAATAAACATTGTAGGTTGTATGTATACATCTACGCATGCCTTTCCACCACTTTGCCTGCTTTTTAAAAAAATAATTTTCATTTCATCTTTGAATGCGATTAATCCTGTTAAACGGTATCAACTCTCAGAAAAATGCACATCTAAAATCTAATTAGCAATATTACATAAACATTTATTCGAGTTTCTAATATAAAACTTTCTTAGAGGTAAAATTTTTGATTCGTTAGTATTTTCACTGACTGGTGTTTATCTACACATTGATCACAATTTACTTTCTTTTTTTCGATATGCAACAAAGACTTCGTCATCATCATAACACACAGATTATTATCTGCTGCAAATTGTAACAATTTAAATTATCTACTAACAATGTTTTCATCCATTATAGAAATCTTAGTGGCATGTAAGAAAGATTTTTCAGATTTTTCTGAGCATGTTTAAAAGCTTGTTGAAAGATTTGTCCGCGTCTCTGGAAAATGTGTATTGTCTTTGACTTTGCTTTATATTTCATGGAAGCTATCGGAAAAGTCCCACATTAACACATTGTAAACCATTAGGATAAAAATGGCGTGAAAAAGTGTATATTTTTCTAATTAGCAAAATCTTTACACGTTTTATGTTAACTAACTTTGTTTTAGAAGTAGGTACGTATTCATTCGTATAGGTAGGTACTTAATATCCATAATAATATTGAAAGATAAGCAATTATTCTCAGAAATTTTTTGAGCATCTCTATGTATTAACGTTAGTACATTGTATTTTGTAAGAGTTTTCGGCCGGAAATGGTTAACGATTTGTTTATTGTGTAGAGATAGGAAATGTAACATTGGAGCTTTCGATACGAAATGGTTACATTCATCTACTGTTTTTTACGTAAATTCGGTCCCCACTGTCCTCAGTCTTAAGCGAAGCTAAATACAGAACTGAATGTTGGAACTTGTAACATAAAAATCAAACACTTGTTGTTGATTGGCCTGACGGTTCTCCATCTCCTATACTCTAATAATTTCTGAGAAACCCTGAACTAAATGGAAAATTCAAAGATATCCTTGCTGTTACTGCTGCAACTGCAGTGGAAAATCAGTCTCTACATCTATATATATAAAAGAAAGTCGTGTTAGTTACTTCGCTTATAACTCAAGAACGGCTGAACCGATTTAGCTGAAAATTGTCAGGGAGGTAGTTTAGAGCCAGGAGAAGGACATAGGATACTTTTTATCCCGTTCGAAATTAAAAAAAAGTCTGCTTATTTATTGCCATTAAGGCGGAACAAAGTTCGCCGGGTCAGCTAGTTTTAATATAAAATATAACAATGGTGCAAGATCCGTTATGAAGCTTTACGTCTTATCATAAAATTACAATTATTAGCTAATAATACAGCTCATACCTATTTTATATTTCATACTAGCTACTACTATTTTGTAGACTAATTCCTGTAGTTCTTCATAATGTTTTAGTGGTTTTTGTTATCTTTATCCTTCCTGGTAGTTCGACTTCGTAATATTTGAGTAGTTTTTAACTTACATGTTTCCTTTGTCAATTACTTATCGCCTGGAGTGTCTTGGTATGAAGGGTCGTGTAGAGACGATGGGACAGGGCCGTCCTACCGAAGCTGCATGCTAAGTAGGTTTTTAATATCGGGCGTGTTTATGATGTGTATGGCATGACGCACTCGGACTTGGAGCGAGGACCGGCGTCCGTCCGTCGCAGTCAGTCGGCGCAAACCGCGGCTTTGGGCGCGTCCTGCTGTCGCCTCGATATTTATTTATAAACGCACATCCAGTGATAAACTTGTGTTTACCCTTGTAATTGCTCCCTTATGGCTCAAACTAGTCGAAGTACATTTGAGCGCCAGTGTTAACTCTTGAAAGACAAAGTAATTTGTTATTTATTTGTGTGACGAGAATCTGGCTTACGTCATTGTCCTCAGGTAGGTCCAAATCACTTAAATCCAATCCAATTAGGTCGATGCTTCGCAGTAGTATAATAATGTATTCTTTGTTCTAGAATATTTTATCCAGTCAGTAGGCCTAATTATAAATTGAAACTTTATGTTAAGGAAGTAACAAAGCTTTGAGCATTGGAGTACTTTATTATGATTATATTATAAAGGATGGCATAAATTGACTGATTTTATAGTTTAGATATTGTATGTTATAGCATGTGTAATATTTGATTAAATCATTTTTATTATCTTAAATTTAAGCAGAAATTTTCCCTTTTAAAGTAGCGACCAATTAGGTACTCGTACATACAAAAACAACTTTGATCAAGCAGTCGGTTGGTTCGATTGAATACTTTCCTTATACGGTCGCTTGCTATATACAGCATTCGCAGTTATGATCAGGTAAGCTGGCTCAATGTATGTTGTAGATAGGTACTACAAGTACTTACCTACCATATAACATTGGACAGCTATACCTACGTCATACCTACCTGCACAATGTTATTATCCTTTCTTGCAGAGGCTTTGATTTTTAAAAAGAGTTTTGAATACTGCTTCTAGTTTTGTCTTCTCCAATACAGGAATCAATAAATAAGCCGCAGAATTAAAATTTAAATATCTTGTTTCAGTTCCAATATGTTTTGAACCACCCAAAAATCTTTTCTCAACCTTCAAACCCAAACAAAGTAGTAGACTTTAAGGAAATGACCTTGGAAGACACTAAATCATTGACGCAGCTGACCTTTACAATGTGTTTACATCTTAAATTCCAAACTAAATTGCTTACGAACATAATAATTTAAGCAATATTTCAAAACAATTAGGTACCTATAGTCAATCCGGATTAACCATCTCGGGGCCCCTAGGCACAGCTCGTTTCGGGCCCCCCTTTTTTTGTCGCGGAGGAAATGCTTTGCAGCACTCCCGGTGGACAGGGTGGTGTGTTGGATCCAGGCACCCTAAAAGGGCGCTGCTCCGTCCTAAAAAGGACGGGGTATACCCACTAAAACCTCCGCGGCGTTCCGTCATCGCCCAAATGGGGGTGTCGCGAGTATCCGGCCGTAGCCTTAGACTTCCGCGACACCTCCGGGCTGTCACTGCCACCACCTGTCGAGCTCACCTACACGGCGGACCCTACAGGCCCCCCTTGTGGGAGTCCGACGGGAATGGCCCGAAACGCCAAGTCGTTCCCGTCAGACGGAGGTGACAAGGGTGCCCTCGCACCCCCGGCCTACTGGCCGCCACCTGGGGGGAGAGTAGAACGGTCGTACAACCGCCTTCTCCACCCCCTTTTCCGCCTGCGGAGCGATGACGCGAGAGGATCGTTCTCCCGCTCGCGCTCCGCTGCTTCCTTCTGAAGGAAGACCACTTCGCAAAAGGAGGCGACCGCCTTCCAGCATCCTTCAATTCCCAGCATGGCGTTGACCAGGCTCGAAAGTGAAAGATCCCGGCCCACGACCGCAGTGAGGACACGGCGCTGCTCCTCCCAGCCTGTGCAGACCGCGAGCGAGGGTGTGCTGCACCGTATCATCCGCTGCGCGCCGCATTTGTGGCACAGCGGAGATTCCTCTCGCTCGATCCTATGCAGGTACGAACCGAAGCAGCCATGCCCGGTCATCACCTGCGCCAGACGTGAGGAACCCGTGCGGTCGTTCCAACCATTGGTTCATAACAGGACCAAAGTCATGTCTTCCTTCCTCCTTCCCGCTTTCCACGCGCCTTCTGGTCTGCCATCCAGTGATAGATGACAGACATGACCCCAGCTTCTAGCTCCCAAGGAGGAGTACCAGCGAGGACGCACGCCGCAGCGTGTTCTACCGTGCGCTAGGTCCTTGCGACTTTCTGGGCTATGACCCGCCCGCTGGGACCTGCGCAGAAGGGCATCATTCTCCCTCTTGTTGAGTGCGTCCGCCCAGATTGGGGCGCCATACAGCGCCATGCTCCTCAGAACGCCGGCATAAAGTCGACGACACCTCGTTTGTGGCACTCCCAAATTCGGGAAGAGCCATCTCAGTGCGCGGGCTGCCTTGAGGAGGCGTGGCGCTAGCCCGTTGAAGTGCGGGCTAAAATGCCACCTCCCGTTAAGCGTGAGGCCCAGATATATTTCATCTGGCCTTTGACGTCAATCCTAACGTCCTCAACCACAATGTGGGCGTCGGGAGGGGCGCGCTGGTGAGGCCCCGGAAAGAAGAGGGCCTCAGTCTTCTCCAGCGCGACTTTCAGGCCGTGGCGTTGTATTCTGCGAGCGACTACTTAATGTGCCGCCCGCCGACGCCAGCCGTGCCGCGGCCCCAAACGTCTTCCCCGGGCAGTGACCAGAGAGTGTCATCCGCATATGACACTCATGCCCGCGAGAAGGACACCCCGGAGGAGCCAGTTGAAGCCTAGGGTCCACAAGAGTGGACCGAGCACCGAACCCTGCGGAACCCCGCAGGCTACACCGCGCCGTTTGAGCTGGCCGTCTCTGTTAACATACAGGACTTCGCGGTCCCGTAAGTAATCGGCCAGCAGCGCTCGAAGGTACTGAGGCACTCTGTGATGTTGAAGTGCCTCGAGTATGGTGGAATGAAGGATGGTATTGAAAGCGTTGGCTATATCGAATGATACAGCCAACACACCCTCACCTTACCTCTCTCCCTAGCCTCCGCAGTGAGACTTTTTAGCCTATCATGTAAACTAAAGCAGTAATGCCAACGTTACGAAAATGAATTAGGTTCCACAATATCGAAATATGACGATTGAATGTGTAAACCAAAATAAGGCGAAGTTATGAGGTGGTTTGAGTTTTGTTGCATGAAAATAATCTTTAATTTTTTTTTTTTTTTCATTTTTTAATCGGGAGTGCTGGGCCCCTGGTCATAGTGGGACCCTAGGCACTGGCCTAAAGTGCCTTATGGATAATACGGCACTGCCTATAGTATACTATACGGTATAATTAGGTGTGTAATAAGTTAAAAAACGAAAACATAAGATGACGCATCAGCGTACATAAATACGCATTTATTTTTAGTTATTTCTACAATATTGACATTTAGAGCAAATCCAATTAAAGCCAATGTAATTTAATAATAAACTAACATAAGTTCATCCACGCTTTGCATTTGTTTAATTAAAAGAAAGTTTAGGAATGTAACTTGGCGAGTTTTGCATAATAATTTAGATGTATGGTCGAACGCATGATGTAACCATTGAAACTTGAAATTGGGTTGGTGTGAGGTGTGAAGTTCATCCTCTCGCTTATGTTTGAAAAGCTTGTTTTATTTACTTTTGACGACTGGCGCTGATGTGACAACCACATAGTGCCAAAATGTTTTAAATTAAATTCTAACTCTTATCTTTATTTAATTGGTAGAGTTCTTGTGGAATCTTTGCGCTAGATACTGCAACACTGCACTGTGACGATCCTGTGTCAATTTTGTATATTTATCTATCATACTTATTAATCACCACTTTAACCAATCGTTAGACTTATGGCCCAATTAGGTCAGCTAATTCCCCTCTATCTCTTTGTATACCAACATTCAGTTTATGCGCCATGTAATTTATGCATGATGCATCGTCAGATAGGTATTTTGAGGATGCGTACTTATGGTAATTTGATTGCAGAGACCGAGGCTTGCGGAGAAGCGGGCTCGGGGCACCGCGGCTCGCTGCGCGGCGCCAACAAGCTGGCGCGGCGCGCGCGCTCCTTCAAGGACGACCTACTGGAGCGCATCTCCAACATGCGCTCGCCGGCGCAGCAGCATCACCCGCCGCACCTCTCCTCGGCTATCAGGTCAGCCTTATCGCACTTATCAAGAACACCGCCTGGGTCAGTGACGCGCCGGAACGCGTGCGTGCGTAGGCATCGTACCGAGCGCACGCATGCATTTCCGATGAGTGTGCCGTTCCCCGTTCCAGTGCATTGTCTTTTCAAATTTTATTTATGATACACTATTTATGTAGAGTTTTACAGTTAGATATTCTAATTATGACGAAGTTACCCATATAATCCAGATGTGCAATGAAAATCTTCATCATGTTAAAATTTTGTTAGGAGCAGAGATTTATTTCATCACGATCTCTATTAAGGTTGTTTTTCAATCTCGACATCCTATCCTCAACCAACAACAATCTATCCACTATCTACTTTGTTTGCACTGCGATCAAATATTCATACTGTATTGTTTCTTATCTAAATTGATAATAATTTTAGATACATAACTCCGTTATCTTAACTGACAACGGTGTAAGAAAGTGTCGCTTTAACAGTTTTATCTCAACCGCTAACGAAAGAACAATGCTTTTGTTATTTCGTGTTAGATTTGCTTTAAAATATTCAAGCGTATTGACAGCAGACCCGCGTAGTTAGTGCTAACCTTTGTTACTGGGCTGCGAGCGTTGTTGTGAGCGCGCAGTGCTTTACCGTTTGCGGGGCGTTAATGTAGACATTGCACTAAATGTGGATGTTATTATGAGTCACGACCGCGACCCGCCACTGTCGTACTCATTAGTGACTGTCCGCTGAAATCTCATTAGTTAGTGCGTGCTATGTTAAGTGATTACATTTTAATGTCCGCGCCCGGGCTGTCGGCGTGACTGAATCGCTTTTTATTTATTGTGCGGCTAGTGGACGCGCGTTTTTACCGCGTTGAGGTTGTTCGAAAGTAGTTCTGTGTGCGGAACGTCCGAGCGACTAGTGTGGTCAAGTGTTCTTTACGGCTCGGGCGGAGTGGCTCAGGTGTGCATAAATGTCGAACGCGGTGCGATCGCCCGTCGGCGACTGGTTCAACAGACGCACGAATCAACTTCACCGGAGATTTGCCAACAATGGAAGACGGTACGATCGTTAGATAAGTTACACGTTCTTCATGTTAAGGCGTAACGTCCTTTGTTTTTGGTTACGGCCGGAATAAATTCAAATATCGTTAGGTATGTAGGTAATTGTTTTTGCAATCGATTTACGTCACATAGATACGCAGGTCCAACCAGTACATAAATCATTAAGCAATGCTCAGATTACCAATATAGTATCAGAATTTCATACAATTTGTGAAGAAATTGCCCTTGGCTCTGACAGTGAACTTAGAAGTCCAAGGACGAGTGATCTATTAAATTTTATTTGTAAGTAGGCTTTACTGCAGGCAGACTTGCTATCATTGCTAACCATAGCGGTATTTGTTCCTTTCTATGTAATGTTTATTTATTTTTGTTCGATCATTCATGAAGTCAGTCGAACCGGGACCTCCTACTTGAATATCAAATATAACTCGTTGTTGTTATTCACGGTGCGGTGTGGGCTTTGCATGCAAAACAGCTTCTTTCGCAACACATTCCGAGCAATGACATTTTTAAGTGATCCTTTATGTAACACACTTATGAATCTAGTAAGGTTTATTGAAGGTTGTTATCGAGGTTAATTAAGGCGCACACACAAACTGTCATTAAAAGTTTTGGTATGCACTAGTGAAAACCCAGCACAGGTCTGCGACGAAAAAGTTAATTTTTCATACTTTTCTTCAATAAAACTTAGTAGGTATTATGATCTTGATAACCTGATAACTGATAAGATATACTTTTTCTGAGAATATTATCGATATCCGAGTTATTATACTTGCATGCGGAAGGATCAGTTTCCGTACCATTTTATTATATTACAAAGTTTCCAATGACATGAATTAAGAGCTAAAAATCAAGTTGATACATAGTGTATGTAACCCATTTCAACATGGCTAATAGTTAGTAAAAATTGAAGGATTCAAGTCCGTTGGAATGTCAATTCAATATGATGGGGAAATATTGTTGATTTGATAACTCATATAAATTTGGGTATTCGCCCATTAGTATGCTAACATCGCCCGTCTCATCTGTATTCAATTATTATGTGACGTGATGTGGATTATATAAATATACATGATACACGTCTAGCCTATTGTGAATGTCGTCGTTAATTTGTTCTGGAATTAGTTGTTTAGTAATTCAATTATATTTCTTTTCAATTTAAAATAATTTAAGTATAGAAATAAAATTTGATACTTTTTTTTCCTTGAGTAATTAAATTACTTACCTACATTTAACACATACAATCATTTTCGCTACTTCGTTATAAATGCTCATCATCACCATCTTACATAGCGCACGAGTTGGATAAGTTATTAAAGCCACCGTTATGCACTATAGTTAAAAAGTATAGGTGCAAAAAAGCAAATAAATTTTAAAACAAATTATCGCGACTTTATTGTTGTAGGTAATATTTTTTTTATCGAACTGTGTCATGCGTATTACGTATTTTTACCATTTTTGTAGGTTCTGTTGTAACGTCTTTCAATAATGATGACAAAATTGGTAATGTGATTTTTATAATTTTGTATGTCAATAGATTAAAGTCCAATAATTTGCGAAACCACAATTATTAAGTCATTACTTTTCTAATAGTAGTATTTAGTTCGTTATGGCTCTAGAAATGTAAACTAAACTAATTGAAACATCAATTATAATTGGACTTCTACGTCTGTGTACACAAATGTTGCATGTTGAATGTTTATTCCGTCATAATGTTTTCTTAGAACCTATTAACACTAGAGTACACGCGCGGACTACTATAGTAGACCAGGGAAACATTTTACGCTATAACTTTTTGAAAACTTGCGCCAGAGAGCTGGCATTCCAGGTAAGCCTCGTTTACTAAATTTGTCAGTAAGCCAGTAAAGCTTGGGTCGCTAGAGTCTGCGCACTTTTCTAAAATTGACCGTCAAAACTGCGGGTCTACTCAAAAGCCTGAAATCACTCGACAAAAAAATTATGAAAGACTTGCAACAAATGGATTTACACCGTGTACCAGGCAGTAGAAAGTCATGAATACTATGACAGATAAAAAACTTATCATATTTTTTCAGTCAATTTTTTTTTTGTTAACATTGGTCTCAGAGTGCAATTTTGGTCCAAAAAATTTACAACTTTTAAATCTGTTTATAATGTTCGATCCCAAATAGTTATATAAAGAAACTTTGTTTATAAAATAACTATAATAAATACTTTTATCATTTACATAATAATTCTATTCATAAATAGCTTACAAACTGATTTACAGTGATTTTAAATTGGCTTACCAGAGTAGGCCGCGCGTGTATTCGTGTAAAAAAAGGGGCGCGTGTACTGCAGTGTTAATGACAAAATAATCACACATTTTTATATTTAATGATATTTTAAATGATGTATTGTTTGCAGATCACATTCCCCGCTTAGTCCGAAACTTCGGAACATGGGGGCGAAGTCTGCTGCGGCCGAGGAAGGGGAAGTCACGCCTGCCAAAGAACTGGAACGGCTAGTCAAAGAGGTTCATTTCATGCCTACAATACCATTTGCTGTGTTTATATTTTGCTCGTTCATCCGATAAATTGCATTGACTATCGCTATAAAATCACCTTTTTATCTCTAATTGCAGGTTACGTTCGGGTTGAAACACTTCTCTGACGTTATAACAAAAAGGAAGCTAGAAATGCTGCCTGACAACGGCACGATAGTCTTCGAATCTATTGCTAATATACACAAAGGTATTTTTTTTATTACAGCTTTCGTGCAGTATGTTTGCGTGATATTACGGAAAATTTATTTGATTGAAATTACTGTTTGATTGCGCTTCCAATGCCCAATTAATCTAAAAGACCATTGAAACCTGAATCCCGTTTTCGAATATAATCGACGAGTCTATACTCTATAGTGTAATTATGTTAAATTTTACTGCCTAGTTTTCGATTTATTAACCTCCTATCCTAACTGATCCAAATACAAATGTTGTTCATCTGTGTTAAAACTGAAGTTTGCAAATACAGCATCACGTTCGTGTTACAGAAATAAAACCGTACTGCGCTCGCTCGCCGCAGTTGATGAGCGCCGTTAAGCGTCTGTGCACGGCGCTGGCGATGCTGATCCGTTTGTGCGACGAGATCACGGCCGTGAGCTTGCGAGCCGACGCGGGGAATGAGGAGCTGGATACATCTGCGGCGGCGCTGTCGCCGGAGCACGTCAGTGCGGTCGTTAAGGGCGTGACGGCGGCGGTGACGGACGTAGCGGCGTTAGCTCAACAGCACATGACACGGCCCGCGTTGTCCCCGCGACCTGCGCTCGTCTCGCCGCGAGCTAATACGCAGAGGAACTCCTTGCCGGGTAACTATCTTATTTCTATAGACTTGCTCTTGATAACAATCTTATCCAAGAGGTGCAGATGCGATCTATGAGCGAGACTACCCCGAAGATGTCTATTCACCCCTGACTTGAAGGCTTTAGGGTTGTATAACTTTAGGAACTCAAGAGGGTGATAGGGAATTCCACCTATTGGCAGAGCACATAAAAGATGTAGCCTGCGCTTAGTGCGAGTAAGAGGTATGATATGATTGTGGGTTTACCCTATCAGAAACATCCTCATGAAATAACTTGGGCCAATGGGCAATTCTAAGCTCGATTCCCAGACGGGTCACATATACCTAAACTAGTGTAGTCATCAAACAAATATTTAGTACCTTTTACATAAAATGCCACAGTGTTTACCTTGATGTGCTGTCGTACATTAGTCACTGTGTTTACCTGCTTGTTTCGTGTAAACTGCGGATATCTTAAAATCACTCGGTTAGGACTTGTTTTATTTAACGTTATTTTTTTGGAAAAGGAATATGATCAGTAGAGCTCGCAAAACTATGTACCGTGTTGACGGGAGGAGGTGTACCTACCTCGCCTGCCCTCTCGTGCCCTCGCGCAACCGAGTTAATTTACTTTATAAAATAACGAGGCACTCATTGCTCCAGGTAGGGGGTCTAAACGAATGTCCATTGGTAGCGTGGAACTCATTTCTACTCTATCTAAAATAAAATAATATACTAACTCATATTAAGTCACCCAGAAAGCTGCGTGCATACTTTTATAGATTATCATATCATCATCTATCAAATTGTATGATTGAATGCTTGTAGCAGTATTTATGTATGCTCTAATGATTTTGCATAAAAGCATGCGATTTGTTTGACCAATAAATCAACATAGGAATGATTTATACAGTTGTATTCGATTACTCGTACATAATACACGAGTCATTAAAACGTTGCTACGTGCACAATAGATTGAATCCCCTTTTTCTGATATTGTTGCCGTGAATCATGATCGTAACAACTGACCTAACGGGAAACCCTCGTTAATTTATACATACGATTAGAGCTAAACGTAACTGTAGTATTTGCGTAATATGCCTAATCAGTCCTTAGTCATGACGATCGTAATTCGTAAGCCTTTTAAATGGTTAATTTCAATTTGTACATCTCATTACGTAATTAGAATAATGATAACCGTGAAAATACAAGTAACTGATTAGGCTCAAATATTAGATGTTTTCTGACAAAGCTAAAACTACTACGAGTATTATCTGAGTGTCCTATTAATTTTTAATTAAATATTGTCACTTTGTAACTATGACGAATATACGAGTAAATTTCATTTTTAATTCTGTTGATAAAACACAAGTAACAAGCTATTAATTCTGCATACCGTCGTAATGCTCAATCACGATGTCCTCTTTCAGATATCCCTCTGACTCCCAAAGAGTTATCGTTGCTGACGGGAGAGGGCGGCAGCGAGTCGGCCGGCGTGAGAGCCTCGCACTCCTCTGAATCGGTGCTGGATGCGCCCGATTCGCCCCCGCCGAAGCCAGCGAGGCCCAATAGGTAACTTGTTAGAATTATTGCAACTCCTCTGAAAATCCCAATGCCCAATGACAATGTGAGAATGCACAATGGCATTAAGCAACTATATGACATGAAAGAATATAATAATAAATAATAATAAAATCGTTTATTGCAAGAAAAACAATTACATTTTTCATATTAATCTTGGACTCCACACTAGGCAAGCCTGTCTCGTGGAGGCCAGGAGATAACTTTACAATATTTTAGGTACTTAAAACTATTATTAACATAAAAACAATAAAAAATCAATTATTGTGCTGTATGTTTTATAAGTATGGGTTAAGTATGTGTTGTGTATTAAGTAATTAGTGGTTGGTGATAAAATATTATGAAGTGTAGGTACGCCGTAGGTTTCACATTTTATTTATTGTACTATTCGTATGAAATGCTCTGTGTAAAATCTATTTGACTATGCAAATCAAGAGACATGCTATGGCAATAAAATTTAAATGATACAGTACCTAAGTCATTGTTGTTGTAATAAAGTAGCACGGCGTTAGTTAAGTAAATAGGCGTTTTAATAACATTGGCTTACTTACTGAAACTACTAATAGAACTGAAATAATATTAATAAAATTATTTTTTTATTATATCGTTGATTGGTTAATGCGTTACTGAATTGTTTTATAACTGTAAAATAAGCTATTTATAATTAACAATTGCAGTAAAAAGCGCTTGATTGTTATGTCTACATCTGAGCAATAAAATTGTTGAGATTTAGATAAGAAATGACATTTGGTGAAATTATGATTGGTGTGTGCGCATGTTTATCTCACGCAACAAAATAAACAAGAACAATTGGCTAAATAAAAAATAATTTAATGCGATATGACAGTATTTATGTACATATTAGAGTGATATTAATCTTAGTTAATAACTTTCGATGTAATCTATTGCAATATAATGGAGAGACGTGTTACTAAGGTATTCTACAGATCTCTAATAGGTAAATAGCAGACGATTTCGCGCAGGTGCAAGTTTTCTAATGTCAACAAGTTTATGCGATAGTGAGAGTGAAATTGTGTTTGCAGGAAAATCGAGTTAGCCCCACCTTTGCCGCCCAAGCGCAAGTCTGCCAACGACAACTCCCTTCTCGCGCTGTCCATCGACAGGTTAGTAAAAGGGCCTTGTAATAAATACTTGTTACATACACAACCTACAGCAAAAGTTCGTTGCTCCTGCTTTCACTTTGAGATGAAGTCCGCTTAATATTTCCTCGCTAATTGATTATTCTTATCATTGGTTATGTAAGTTCTACATAATGTGTATTCATTTCGGAATATATACTTAAAGGATATATTATATCATATGACTTGCATATTAAGTAACTGTGAAATTTATTAGTAACACTTTTAATTAATTAAGGTCATGTAGCTTGCTTATTATATTGTAAAGTGAATATGTAGTTCATTCAGTCAATTACTTAGCGGAGCCTTATTTAATTGTTGTTCGGATGTTATATAAAAAAAACTAAGTATTCGACTAGGGAAGAACGTCACGATTTATCAATGTTTTTGTTTTGTTTAGGCTTTCGCTACAATCGCACAGCAGTGGTTCATTGGACTCCATGTTGAACGTGTCAAACGACGAGGAGCGCAACTCCCATGAGGCCAACAACCACGACCATGTTTTCATCACACAGCCTAATGATATGCTAGGTAAGATATTATTTTGATACTTAGTACTCTTCTTCTTCTTGTATCTTGTGGGTTTGAGCAACTCAGATCAAAAACCCAGTGTCAGACTAAAACAGCTGCCATTGGCTTCTGAAATGGTTTAATCCTATTAGATTAGATTGATGATTGAAGTGTCTTCAGATCGTACTTCTGAAGACATGTCAAATCGTCAGGTTGATTCAAATCTCACTTACCAAAAACGTGATTACTAAGAACTAATAGAAGACCGTGAACATATTCAATTTATTTATCCCTTCTGTCCAGTCAGTTTTCTCAGGTAACTGGCGCAAAACAGTCCAGAGTGGACAATATTATTGTGGGAGAATGCCCGTTGTCACCATCAATCCCTAATTTCTAAGTGACCCCTATGTAAACAAAATTCCTGTTATTTGTTACCATAGGGGTCACTTAAAAATTAGGGATTGATGGTGAAAACGGGCATAAGACTCGCTGTTCTCACTTGTGACTGAGTTACAAGTCCAAAGACTATTAATTTTTGTTAAGTGAATAAATAAAAACGAATGTTTATTTCCCCAGGCGTGTGCAGCTGCAACGCGGCGGGCGAGCTGCGCGCGTCGCTGGAGGCGCACGAGGCGCACGCGCACGCGAACGCGCACTCCAACCACAACCGGTACGTGCCACATACATAACATGATACCAGAGTAAATACAAATGAGTAGGTCATCTTCATAGAAACGCATCAACTTCATAGTATGTGAGCGCACCAATATACGTATGCGGCGCGCACGCACACACTGACAAAATTCGGCGCAACCACCGCTAATCCCCGCTAAATTTTGTCAGTGTGTGCGTGCGAGCCGCATGCGCGCTCACATACAAACCGCGCCCGTGCGTTTCTATGAAAATGACCTACTCATTTGTATTTACTGTGATAATACGCACCGCACTAGGGTTAGTAAAGATGCGATATTGTCGGTTCGCGTTCGATTCCAATGCAGACTGCGGGAAAAATGATTCTGGCGATTAGCTTTCAAATCGAGAGGCTTTAAATACTAAAATATCCGACATTAGATACATTTCTAAATTCCGTTACAAATCCGCGGAGAAGTCATTCTTTAAGAACTCAAAATTGATAAATATAAACTGGTTATTTGATATTTATTTTATCTTAAACAAAGTAATACAAAAATCCCAAACATAATTAACTCTTAGAAAAATAAATACTTTGCTAGTTTATTAAAATCGGTAAATATTTATACAGTATAATATCAAATTGATAGCTACCTAAGAAGTCCGTACAAATATCAAATAATAAATGTATACTATCCGCTTGATATACATCGGCGAACCCTAAACTCGCACGCACCGCGCTAACCGCACGCTGCGGTCACGAGATCACTGTATTACGATATGTGTGCACTAATGTATTGCGAAACTACACAAATCGAGCGAACTACGCCAAAAACGTGATTCCGTTGATGAGGTTCAACATTATTTATTGCCTTTTTGGTCATTTGCAATATCATTAGTTCCTAACTAATGATTGTGAAATAAAGGGAATTAGTGTAATACCACAGAATAATAATAAGTACTAGTAATACTCTGAATCTGAGAAAAATACATATCTACAAATTCAACTGCAATTGACTGCGCGAAATCCAGCGCTGTTTCCAAATTCTATTTCGCTTTATGCTACACACACTCTGGAGAATTTCTTCGTGATGTTTGACTCTGTTTGCTTTTTTAGCTTTTCCTCTTATTATTTAGATAGTGATGAGTTTTCTTCTAAAGTTTCCACTTCATAGCGTTTTGTTTCTCTTCAAAGCTTCTCCAATGAGTCCGGGTTTGTTTCTGTGGGCCACACGGAGATCTCTACAGAACACAGTTTCACATCTTCGTTCTCCTCGCATCATTACTCCAGCCACTCAGATAGGTATACACACATGTTTGTTTCTTAGTTTTGTATGTTTATTTTTGTTGATTAATGTGTTTGTGAATTCACTGTTTTGTCATCTTTTCCTTCTCATCGTTGTGACCATTGATTATTTTCTTTTCTATATTCCTATAAGCAAAAGTGTTGAATGATGTATAATTTTATGACCATACCGCATTGACTATCGAGTCACAAGTAAATCTCAGTACATATTTTATACTATTTAACACTTTTGGTTTCAATGCTTCCTGTTATTGTTTTTGCAGTCATTTTGACAGTACAGACTGTGTGAGCGAATTGAGATGCACTCGACAAAGCTTTGAGAGCCGCATGAATATAATGAATATGAACAGTGTAGCCACGCACCATTCTTCAAAGTGAGTGTTCTTCTTTGTTCTATCATTAACACACGAACAAGAACACATCATGTCCGCACCGTCCTATTACATCACACGTTACGCTACTTACACAATAACAACCTTGTTACTGGTGAAATAATGTTTTAATCCAAGCAAAATGATAAACACACTCAAAGCCATAGTTGTGGAAAAAATATACAGCCTTACGCAACATTATTTTTTAGCTTAATTGCATAAGCCACACCACATTCAAATTAATTGTAACCAGGTTACGAGTCTCACGAATTTATTAATTTGCAGAACAGGTTTTGATTCCATCTAGACACGTTCACTATCACATCTAAAGTTATGGGTTTTGAGTTTGACTGATAAGTTTGTTTTGGTTTTATTATCTATTGTGTACTTGTGTGAAATCCCACCCGAGCGCTGGCCGCCGCGCCGTGCACGGTCAAGGGCGCGGCGGCTGCAAGAGGCTCGGAACCACTAACAGTATCGTGCGCGCAGGCTGGCCAGCATCACGTCGGACGACAGCGAGACGCCGCCCGAGCTGCCGGCCAAGACGCGCCGCAACATTCGCGCCGACGTGCAGCAACACTTCCCCACTGTCGAAATCAGGTAATTACCTAATGCGACCTCGAGCCGACCTGTCTCGGTTACGGCTCGCCTGCCGAATTGAAAACGCTGTTAACGACAGTATTGCACGGAACGGCAATAAATGTTAGCGACTTACGAACGCGAGTAAACATTGTTTGTCAATAATAATTACTTTTTATTTGAGGTGATCATTCGTTTGTTGTTTTTTTATTAATTTTATTACTCAATTAATTTGTTACTTTATGTTCTCTTTGTGTTGGTTATTATTAAGTTACATTTATAAATATGTACATGTAATGTGCCGTGTTACTCCAGACAAACTCCAGTGTGTTCCCTTCATGGCGAGGCGCGGCCGCACACGCTGGCCGACCACCACCCGCCGCGCCCCCCGCCGCTGCCTTTGAAGAAAAAACACAGTCAGTATCACTCAATTTTACCTTGCTTTAATCTGGGGAAAGGATCAGTCATTGCCGTATTTCATGTTGCAAAATGATATTTATCAATATCGATTTTTATGGCAATATAAAAATATGAGACTATGAAAGTGTCTTGGAATGCGATCAAGCTTATATTTTGAAATAAAAAAGTTTATCACTCGTTTTTCATGATCATTTTGACTTGTAAATTGATGAAAAAAATCAAGAGTCCTACTCTCTCTTCTTACATAATATTATTGGAATTATTAACATAATCATACTATAACAATATCGCATGGGAGCTATGTTGTAACAAATTGGGAATGTACTAAATGGATATGATTTTTTTATATGATCGGGTGCACTTGTAAATCTTTACATCTAAGGAAACTGCATATTGTGGGCAAAAGCACAAACTTAAATCTTTCAATTCTTATTTGTATCTTAGCACACTATCAATATCATTGGTTGCACCTTTATGTATGTAAAGTATGTTCTTTCTGTCATTGTTTATCATCTCATTTGTAGCATTTGATGTGGATGGCAAACAATGCATCGATGTTACTCTGTGTTATGTACTCGACATGTGGTTATATCTATATTATTGGGATGTGGGTGTATGAATTAGGTTTGAATGGCATTTGATGTGGGGTTATAACGGCATGTTTATCTGTTGTGCCGGTGCGGCGCGGCAGTGTTCCAAAGCGTCGCGTACAGTGGTGAGTGGATATGCATGCGAAGCGCTACGTAGCTCTAGTAAACCTAGACTCATGGGGGACACCCTAGTCACAGTTTTGAGTTGACACATTTCAGGCCCACTCCAAATACAGACCGTTTGGAGGTCATCAACGCTTTTAGCGGTCTCCGACACAGCTTCTGTCACTGACCTTTTCGAAACTCATTGTTTTCTAGTTGGTACTGCATGAAGCAAATTTTACGGTGTACTCGCGACAATGATACATTATGTTCTCTGTGTTCATCGACCTTTAACATTTAGTAGTCCATAAAAAATGTGCCTCAATCAGTACCAGTAAAAGCTTGCTTGTCACTCTGTCACTCAATCACGCAATGTTTTGCAAACAGTTCTACTTTCTGTTGTAAATGGTCTTACCGCTTAGATCTATGTCAGTGAATAACAGCGGAATATTATTCGCGCGTAGTTAATTATCACTCGAAATGATTACGTGCTTAGCGCTTCATTACAGAAACATGCCCTTGCTCAGTTTCATTGTATTTCGGCAGTCAGTTTGGAAGTTACTAGATTTCACGTTTGCCTCCGTTATTTTTAATTTGACTAATGATCCAAACGTATATGCCCTACGCACAGTTTCATATCGTTTCTGGAATTTATTAGAATCCCTGTAAATATTTTGAATTCCTCTGTGGGGTATACGTATTTCGTAGACGGAATTTATAAATTATTCTGTTCGAATTTGCGCAGTAATGGCGTACATGGAGATGTTTGGGAACTGCAGTCACCCGCCAAACAGCGCGGCCGCTCCGTCGGATATGTTCCGGCACTCCATACACACGTATAACTTGGCCAGGTAAATAAATACTTTTGCTATAGTAATTCTATTGTTTGCCTTATTTAGATGCATGCTTTTGATGTATTATTCGATGTTACAGTGGACAACATGCAACAGCAGCAGGAGTGATAAATGTCCAAAGACACCAACACGTACAGCGCACTATAGCGCAGTCCTTCACGGTCCAGCATTTTGGTACGCCACCGCTAAGGTCAGTAAACATAACATTCCACTCATATTGTTTGGTTGGTTAACAGCTAAGTTAATTTAATCAGCATTTTTTATTAAAATTAACATTTTTTTTTGTTACAGTGGTTCCGATGAAAGTATGGTCGGATGGAGTGGAACTAGTCCGTTACCAATAGAACCTCCAGCGTTACCGCCCAAAACAAACAAAAATAAACAGGTATGCTTTTGAAGATACGATAGATAATATATCACTAATTGTATTTTCATATCACAAGTATTTCAATCGCAACATAGATAACTATGATAACAATACACGTTTTCCATTTACAGATCCAAATGAATTCGAGCAACGAACTATTGCCTCCGCCGTCACCACGGCCCTCGTCTCACAACAGCTCTGCTGATGAATCTATTATAAATAATGTGGTGAGTAAAAATCATCCTTATTGTGTCTATGCATATGGTCATGAATACTGTTTGTCTGTTACCGTAACAATTTTGTTGTTTGTTTCAGAATTCTGACGATTCTTACGTGAGTTCGACCACGCCTGGTAAATTCCCAGTGGAAGATGAGTTGGAGACGCTCGCTCCGCCGCCTGCGCCTTCGCCGGTGCCGTCAACGGTAAAAAACGACCTTAAATAAATTACACATAAGTTTATTTTTGCTTAAAATTTAAATTTTAATGTTGGATGTTTGTTTACAGAGAAGTGAAGGCAGCACTGAGCCGGCAGTACCTGCTACTGAAACTAACAATACTCCAGCAGCGTCCACTGATGCCGAAGACATAATCATTCAGACGGACATCAGCTCGTGGCTACTCCTCAAGGCTCCCAGCAAGGACGGGCCTGAGGTGCGGGGAGGGAACCCCGACGCACTTATTGTCCTTGCTACCAAAGCTACCAAAGGTATATTGGAATTAATTTCTTTATCATTATTAACTAAAGGGGAACTACTATTTAAAATCTATTAATCAAATTCTCGCATGAATATAATTCTCTTAAATAAACCATTAAACCATCGCAAGGCATGTATGAGGGCAGGGGTAAGATAAAATAATATTATGATTAAACATTTGAGAGCGAACCCCGTCTGTTCCATGGAACGCTATGATAATACTCATAATCACTATCTTTCATTTACTAACAGTAATAATAAATTTCAAATTCAACAAGAAGGAAAGGTCCATAATTTCATATAGTGCAATAATTTCCTGTTGACAGTACTCTGAGGCATCGCATCTAACCTCTAAACTTTCATGCTTTCACTTTACAGAAACGGACGAGTGTAAGTCAATCATTGTTTGTATTGGGGCTGAAACAGATTTGCTGGTTTTGTTTTACTAATATTATTATTAAAAGCTTTGCCAACATAGCTCGTGTTGGTTGTCACTGATTGTAAAGGCGCACATTACTGATTGAAATGTAATAATAACTGCTTGAATGTTGAATATACGAAATACACTGCGCTTCTGATGTATAAAACACTAGAAATATATTTAGCAACTGTAAAAAGTAGTTTCTAGAAAAATGGAATGCCAATCCCAGCTAAACCGCACCAATGCAAATGTAAGCTTTCAGCTTTCTAAACCGTAACACAATTGTTTTGAAGCAAAAAAGAGGATATTTTATCGAGATTTAGTGTGATCTAATTTGTGCCTTGTGTGCCTTCAAAATGTGTTACAGCTTAGCATGCTAAACAACTATACTTTGAGCAATACAGCGAAAAAGACATTACGTTCCTTGACTTTTGATTGTTAGGGTTGCGTTAGGCACAGCCAGTAAAATAAGTCGAATATACATTATGTAGATGAATGTTAGGGAAGAAAGCTAAACTCCATAAGGCCGGGCAATAACAACTGTCTACAGCATTTTTGCGCACGGGCTATGCATAACTAATTTTTTTGCTTTATAGCCTAGAAATAAGAATAACATCAAAAAATTGTTCTGAATTTGCTTTTATGTGTAAAAAATAGAAAAATTCATATCAATGAATGTATGAAACATCAACATAGAGATAATTTAATTTGTTGCCAAATATTTTTTTTTTCTTTCTTTCTTTCATTCTTTCTAATTATTAAAACATACCAAACATCCATTTAAGATTCATTCTCACAAGAGAAAATTTAAAATAGAGTCCAAATATTTATTACAAATGAAAAGTTCTAATTGCCTGTCATGTTCCATAGAAGATTTTTCTTATAAAAATCTAACTCTATCATGCTTTCAGTATACTGGCCTTGGTAACGTCGTCTCTTAAATCCCACTATATTTTGATGAAAGCGTGTCCCTTGTTCTTGCGAATAAGCCCCCATAATTATCTATAAATATATCCCAATGAGAATGTGACGTGCATCTTTAGGGATATTCTACTATGAAGATGGAAAATTCAAATCGCTATAACTTCTTAAAAAGCAAATATTTTCGATTTGTAATCGCACTTTTTTATATAAATTTGCTTATATAATCAGAATATAATAAGTAAAATCCATGCGCAAAAAAAAAAATTTTTTTTGTTGACCAGTGTAATAGAACGACATGAATCGGCACAGTCTTGAGTGATGTGTTATCCCGATTGAACTACTATCGGCACTATTTAAATAAGATGTTGTAATTTCTTTGGACCGGCTTTGGTTCAACAATTACCGGTGCTACTACAATGGCCCGTGTATGCAGCAAAGCAACCCTTATAACAATGTAGACTGCTACTTTTGCTCAAAATATAGTTGTTTGGTGTTATTAAAAAACGTGTCTTAACACAAGCGTCGTGTGCGCAGATTTCGCTTACCAGGAGGCGTTCCTGGCCACGTACCGCACGTGGGTGTCGCCGAGCGGGCTGGTGGCGCGGCTGGTGCGGCGCGCCAAGCACTTCAGGCCGCGCCCGCACGAGTTGCGGTCTACGCTCAGCCTGCTTACTCGAGTCGTGGCGGACCTCACGTGAGTACATTTATTTAAAAACTATAATATATTGTACAAAATGGTGTACAGAGCTTGAATTCTAGAATGATTTTGGCGGTAACTTTACTCTTGGTAAGTCAGGAGGCCTATGTTCAACAGTGAAGTCTAGGTAAAACAAAACTAGCCGTGGTGCGTAACTGAGTAGGTTACTGCATGAAGGGGTGTGGGGGTGGGGTAAGTATTCAGAATTAATGATATGAATATGATTAATTCATTCTATTTTGTTACACAGGATGTCAGATCTGGATCGCCCGTTGATGCAAGAGATAATGGAATTCATCTATTGGCTAGTCGAGGTTGAGGAGCTGCCAATAGCAAAAGCACTGAGGCAAATACTAGTCGACAAACAAAAACAGTTGCACTTCCAACAGGTATGACTTTGTTATCATGATAAATAAAAGTTCAGTACAATATTGTCAGCATTAAATGTTAATATCATTATTACTTTTTCCAGACGAACAACAGATATGAGTACGACACACCGTGCTACGGTTCTGTGTCGCTACGTCGCGATACATTGCTCGACTTCAAGGCGACGGAGTTAGCAGAGCAGATGACGTTGTTGGATGCAGCACTGTTTGTGCGGATCACGACCGCGGAGGTGCTGTCATGGCCGCGAGACCAGTCTGAAGAGAGCTCGCCGAACCTGACCAGGTTCACGGAACACTTCAATAAGATGAGCTACTGGGCGAGATCGAGGATATTGGAACAGGTGCGTTGAGTTGTATTAGGTATTTTGAGGTATTAACTCGAAAAGAAATTGAATGAAATCTTATCGCTTATACGTCTTGCCTGAGAAGCTAAAGTCATGCCTCATTGAGAACCTCATTGCAATACATTTTGAACATTGGTCATTTTTGTAATGTTGTTCGTCGATGACTTCGAATAATACGAATAGACTAATTTTTCCTTGATAATCAGATGTTTCGGAAACATGAACTGGGCCACTACCGTTAACGCTGAACATAATACAGTTGCGGTAGACGCACACAGCGTTTTAGGAGCCTTAACACGTTCGACCTCCACAAGTGAAGTTCATTTCCTGTAAAACGTATGTACAGTGAGAATGTATCATTTGGAAAATAGTGTTTTGTTTATACAGGATGGAAACGATAAGTGATCTCACTCGATTATTTCTTAACTATGTAAGATATCAAAAAGCTGGAAACATTGAATTATTGGATTGATCCAGTTTATTCTGTAACCTATTATTACCGTTTGAAAGAGCTCGTGAAGCACTTTCAGGATCAGTGACCAGTTTTTCGATATCTTATATAGTTTAGAAATAATCGAGTGAAATCACTTATCGTGTCCACCCTTTATACTTGCGTCGTCGAAAGATTGGTGTTGAGAATGATCATTTTATGCAGGACGAAGCGCGTGAACGCGAGAAGTACGCCAGCAAATTCCTGAAGGTGATGAAGGCGCTGCGCAAGATGAACAACTTCAACTCGTACCTGGCGCTGGTGTCGGCGCTGGACTCGCCGCCGGTGCGGCGCCTGGGCTGGCCGCGCGCGCTCATCGAGGCGCTGCAGGACCACTGCGCCATCATCGACTCGTCCTCCTCCTTCCGCGCCTACCGCATGGCGCTCGCCGAGACGCAGCCGCCCTGCATACCCTACATGTGAGTACAGACTGCTGCTAGATCTACATTAGTAATGGGACTATAACTTTGGCGTTTTTAATAGTTTGAAGTATCTTTGGATAATCAGGCTCACGGAGTAAGAACCCCTTTTAACTAGCGTTTGTCCAGCGTAGGCGTTCGATAAATGTATTCGCAGCGCAGACAGTGTCTCTTCTGGCACACATGATATTGCGATGTCATGTACCTGCATTCAAGGAATTTATTTTGTGACTCACCTAAGGTTGAATATCGTACAACAATCTGGATAAATTATGTGACGTCTGCGATGCGCTAGCGCAGCGATCAATTAATTAACTGTAGCGCATACGTTAATCGGACGCCTACGCAAACGCTTCGTATGAAGTCTTAGATAAAGTTTCATCAAAAACCATTACAATAATTCCATAATAGTAATGTCTACTGTCTACGCCTTTCATTATCATGACTTTAAACAATATTGCCTGCAATAAATATATTTTGCACTTTAATATTTGAATTAATTTTACAGTGGCTTAGTCCTGCAAGATCTGACGTTTGTCCACATCGGGAACCCGGACCTGCTGCCCGACGGCAGCATCAACTTCACCAAGCGGTGGCAGCAGTACCACATCATGGAGAACATGAAGAGGTTCCACAAAGAGTGCGTATCTTTATGTTTCTTAAGTTTTTTTTTAAAAGAGGCTGACATGTTTGTGTTTCTTGTGCTGCTGCTTCTAAGCACTGTTCCGATTTATTTTTCCGGTAGGGTTAAAGTAATACTAAGATGTGTTAAAGCGCTTTTTAAAAGCCTTTTTGCAGATAAAGAATGGCTTTATTACTTTGCCAAATCTATACGCAGATTGACGTTGCTCCGCGCATATTTTTTTAAAACTATTTTTAACCCACTTCAAAAAAAAGGAGGAGGTCCTCAATTTGAGTGTATGTTTTGTAATATTTAAATAACTCTATAAGTTATTTGTATTGTTTTGAACCACGAATGATATAATTCGTCGTCACCCTCCAGCAGACAGTACAAGTTCAAGAAGAACGAGCGCATCCAAGCCATGTTCAACGAGTTCGACGACGTGCTGAGCGAGGAGGCCATGTGGCAAGTCTCCGAGACCATCAAGCCGCGCGGGGGCCGAGCGCGCGCGCCGCCCGCCGCGCCGCCCGCCACGCAGCAGGCCGCAGCCTAACTAGACTGGCGCCCGACTGCCGCTGAATAGTAAGTATAGCGTTGACATTGATCTCTGGACATAAATATATTTATCTCTTATTCTTATTAGTAGTCTTAGGTATGACATTCTATTTTGGACTTAATTATTTTATGTATATTTTAATGTTATTTGACTATTATTTAATTTATCGTTTTAATTATTTGACAATTTTACATATTGAAATTGATATTATAAATTATCTGTATTGTATAACTTGAAGGCGCGTTGGACTTTCTGTAAGCCTTCAAGCAGATTATAAATAAATAAATAAATAAATAAAAAAGTATAGCGTAAGGCCCTTTTCACACGTCCCGGTTGCCGGCTAACCGGCGCCGGGTACCCGGTCGTGAAGTGTATGGGCATGCCGGATTAATTACGCCGGAACATGTAAAAGATACGTACCATGCCCATACACTTNCGGGTACCCGGTCGTGAAGTGTATGGGCATGCCGGATTAATTACGCCGGAACATGTAAAAGATACGTACCATGCCCATACACTTCACCACCGGATACCCGGCGCCGGTTAGCCGGCAACCGGGACGTGTGAAAAGGGCCTAAGAGTAGGCGCACACCGTTGATTTTTCGTCGGCCGATGTTCAGTATGGGCATGTATGGGAGTGCGCACACTACGCCGATTCGATTTGGCCGATTCTTCATACAAATTAAAATCGGGCACAACTATCGGCCAACTAAAAATCAACGGTGTGCGCCTACTCTAAGGTTCTACACATAAACAGCGTTGTATCGTAGAAAGTGCTCTCTTTCGTCGTTATAGATGACCTACACTGAACTGTCCCACCGAACTCGATATTCAACTGTGACCTTTGTGTGGGAAGCCAAAAATTGCCGCTGTTTGTCTTTTATTTTTGGTGAATGTTTGCTAAGAGTAGTCATCCATTAGTCAGCTAATTAAAAATAGTGCTCCAAAATGATCAAAGCCAATTAATTTAATGTGTGTAAAATATCCTGTGTAGCTGTCTAAAGATCGAACTGTGTTTATTATAACACCGCTATGTTTCACTATGAATGTTATATTAATTAATGTGTTTTTCCTTACAGATATGAATCCCAAAGATAGAACAAAATAATGGACGGAAGAAACAATCCGCTCAAGAAAATGACTAGGAGGAATTGTGTAAGTTAGAAGAATTGTGATTATCTGTCCTAAAAAGGCCTAATTAATATTAGTGTATTTATTCGTAATCGTGCGATTTCATCTGTGATCGGTATTCGGTCTGAGAGCGAATGAGTCGTGGGCGGTCCGACGACGCCACGCGTGGTGCATTTTATTCGCTTGCAGTTTCCACGCTTTTCATGTGAAACAAATATAACGAAATACGAAAGCCAAATATATCTATCAGTATTTGAATCGAGTTACTGTCGTCTTTTACATATCAGCATGTGACTTGAATAGTTTACTAAAAAATCGAGCAACGCCTTCGTGTTTAGCTAATGTCATTGATAAAAAAACTTGTTGTACTCGCCATTGGTGTCAATATGTATGTATACACATGTAACAGCTTCGAAAGTTAACACTTTTCAATACATCGAATTAGAGGAACTTTGAGATCGTGTAGTTATGGTAGTCATACTACTGTTTGATTATAGTAACTTAGTCCGTCGTTCGTTAGGCATTTCTAATGTTCTCGTTTTAATGTCGGTTACATAATATTACTCTATGGCGAAAGTTTCGAAATTGGCTTATGCGTAAGTTCGTATAAGAAATGGGACAGCTTCTTGGGTTTTCAGCTAAATCGAAATAAATTTCGTTCTTTATGCGGGGCTTCCATAGAATAAATGAAATAAAACTTTAACCCCGATGATTTGATGATACACACCTCTAGACAAGTAATACAGACTATATGCATACATATTTTTATACCATTGCACAACGTGCAACAGCCTACATACAACTGATACATATCATTATCGTGTGTGCCAAATAACTAAGTGAGAGAAATGTCCCATTTCTGTATAAATAAATCGGTTCATCGATATATAATTACGATTAATAATGATAGTGCTTTATGCGATATAGTACAATTATTATTATTATTATTAATATAGGGGCATCCTTTCGAATTTGTGGTATAGCTCTCAGGTACAAAGTTGCACGCAAGTGAGATTTTGCATTTAATGAAGCACGTTATTAAACGAGTTGTAGGATACCCCTTCAAATTGCAGTCGACGTAAACGTAATAAAACACATTTCAATGAATGTGTATTATCGATGCCCGTCTCTTCTATTTTTGTGATGTTTTAAAGTAATTGTAACGCGAGGTCTTTGTTGGCGTTAGCGTTTCGCGTTGATGCATTTTAATCGTATCATTACGGTCATTGCGATATTTTTTGTATTCTCTTGAAATTAGTAAGAAATTCAATGCATACTATTATTTTTGATATTCAGGAGTTATATTTTTCCTATAGTTTGCTACCTACAAGGAAGCAAAAGATTTATGAGTAACATACTTTTGAGATCTATACTTATTTATACTAAACGTCACGGTTTGTGTCATTTTACTGTGTAAGCTTTAGAAACAGTATAGGCTATGAAGCCGTAGATAGAATGTAACTTTGGAACATGTTGAAGTTCACTCGGTTTGATATAGAAACAATAATCACATTTTTTAATATATTGATAGGAAAATAAACAAATAGTGTAATCAGCATTTAATTTGCCTTAAGACCAAGAGTCTTCAATGAAATAGCAATAAATTTTACTTGTTGGTAGAATCGCTGCACAAATTGTGATATTCATGTAGCGTGCCGCTTAAGTCCAGGGCACTCGAAAGTTGTCCAAAATGTGCATTGTAATGGTATTGAAACATAACACGTATAAGAAATTACGTGATTTATCTGAATATCTGTACCTGAAAACTATTGTTGTGATGTTTTAGTGCACATTTTAAACAACTTCCGCGAGTCCAGGATTGTTCAGTCTTTTGACGTCCTCTATGCGTACGCGTAGGCAATTATATTAGGCAAATATTAGCAGTAAGCGTAATTAAACCCCAAATATTGATAATATTAAGATCGTCGAGGCCGGTAATGCACATAGGCAAAATGTGTATTTAGTGTAAAAACCAGTCAGTTCATACAAGCCTTATTGTTGTACGATTATATAGCAAAAATAATAAATATATACAGTTGCGATATTTATTTTAATTAATACACCAACGAGGGATATAACGTGGGCACATTTTGAATTGAACCATTTATTTTCTGAATCAAGGTGTGATTGTGACTTATGAAATATGATGTTTTAATGATTTTGTTCGTAACCATCTAATATTCAGATGGTTATAAATACAAGTTGGTTATGCCATATGAAGGAATCAACCATTTTGCCTTAATGGTTTCCAATTTGTACTTTTTCTCTTTAGAGATATTAATTACACCATCTTACCAAGAAAACGTCAGAATCACGTATAACATAGTTTGTTATATTAGGTTTTATTTGATTAAAATCTCTGAATTAAAATCTGTGAAATGGTGGGGCAAATTAAAAACGAAGTAAAGTTAAGTAATTGTTCATTTTAAGTGACATATTTGATTATTTAGTGGGTGTAAGAAGTAAGTCAGGTCAGGAACAGGCATGAGACGAGTAGTGTGATACTGGTCTATGAATATTAATGTAATTCGCAACGATCTGGTAGTTTGTGTGTCGTTCAAAGGGACACGAGTCCCATGCAATAAATAAACTAGACCAATATTTAGAATGTTTTACAGTGCTTTACTGAAATTATGTGCTGATATTGTATTTGTATTGTAAAATATTTTGATTGCTAGCTAAGTTGGTAGGGTATGTTACCATTTTGTTGTCTGCTATTAATATTTATTTAGTGTACCTATAAAGTTATGTAACGGTTTGATATAATTATTAATTGAAACATAATTAAAGACTGCCTAAATTAATTATTCAATATAATTGACGTGTAAATTTAAAGAATTGTTTAAATTTTCCATTATGTCACACGATAGATTGTACTCCCGTGAATATAGTGGCGCGCGACCGCGTCCGTCTTCTAATAGCACTAAACATGGCCGTTTAGTAAATCGTACATATTTTTTTGTTGTATTAGCAAGCTCAGTATTATGTTAAAAACATGAAATGCCATAATGTATGAAATGAAATTATTATTGTTTGGGAACTATTTTATGTTTTATATTGTAATGTTGAATATTACTTCTAAGTAAAGTTTTTTTTTATTATATAAATTACATATTATTGTAAATTACTTTTATTTGAGTTAGTCGTAATGTTCACCGTATAATCTGAATTGCATGCATGTACAGTCTACATTATGTGTGTCAAGTTTTTTTGTAATTATTTTGTAAAATAAATATAGCACGTTATTTACAACATAAAATGTGTTTTATATTTTCCTATTAATCATTCTTATCGTTGTTTGTTTGTGGTAACTAAAATAGAATTGTATATTTGCAATTTTATGTACAAATAATTCTTTCTTTCTTTTCAATTTATCAGTGTAATTTTTGTGTCTAGCATTATTGTCTTGCTATTATTATGCAAGCTAGAACCCATTTTTAAATGTTAATGACCTACTAAAATACTAAATATTCGTTTAAACAGGTGTTTCTTACTCAACATTCAAATGTCCATTTATACGCCCACTTTAAATCAACGAATAATCCTTTATTTACCAAGTAGATAGAGAAAGATGATGATGATGCATGTTCTTTGTTCAATAGATAACTTTCAAGAGAGTGAATTATGTCTTTTGAATACGATTAGGTACTTATGTATTTAAGATGATGATAACATCAAATACTAGGTGTTTGCCGCAGAATTCCTCGTAGGAATTTTGATCTGATCAAAAACATTAGCTCGCTTCCCGAGGGAAGCTTAAAAGACGTGGTCATCCACAAAACCTCACTTGCGGAAAAAGTATTTTAAAATCATCTGACTATTTAATAAATTTGATCTTAGACAAACTGACATACTCACATTTCTCTATTGTTGTATTATTAGACATCGAAGTCCTTATTGTTGTTATTATCACATGCACTCAAACACTACAAATTCGTAAATATTTGAGTCAAGGCAAGTACGAGTTTGAGTGTGACACTAAGCAGAAGTCATTAACATTCGGTTTGCGAAATAAGTGATTATCGTGCGGCTAAAAGGTGTCCCATTGGGAGCTCAGCGGGGTCCTTCATAGATAAAGCTAAGTGGCGAAATAAAATCCACTTAATGTCGAAATGCAGGTGTTAGATATTGCTTATCTATCTAATTAGGTGATCGATTGTCTATCCCATTGTTATACACACTAGGACCTCCTCTTTAAATATAAGTGCTGGAAACATGGAATTTACAGTGGAGTGTTGTCACCTGTCACAGTATTAAGGTGGTAAATTAAATTTTGTAAAAATGCAGGCTTTTGTTTTATTCAATTTCTGCCTGATATTTGTTATTTCATCGAGCGCGCCAGTTAAAGAGGAGAACAATCTCAATGAAGCCAAAGATTTTAGTGGAGATGGTAAGTAAGTCTAATACAATTTATTTTGGTTAACACATATTCCTTCTTGTTAAATGTTGTTTTTTTGCATTCAGTTGGGGAAGAAGGCAAATTATTTGAGGGCGACATGTTATTGTCGTCGCAGCAACATCGTGCGATACACACTGCGACACAACAGCGCAACGGACTGTTGGGTGGTTCCAAACGCTGGCCGGAGCGCACTGTTGCCTATCACATCGAAGAAGATGACTTCGGTTAGTCCAGTTTATTTTAAAAACGTTGCATTTCAATAATATTCATGTAACTTGACATCACTTTAATTATTGCGTGCCTAGGTAGTTCTTTGCCATGTAAACGATATCTGATCAATAATATCAATTTTCGCAGAATAAATCCAAAATAGTATAACGTGTGTTGTAGTTTGAGAATATCGGAAAACACGACAGTTCATGACTGATAACAAAATGAACAATGAATGTTTATTGACGCTTTCATATTGTTTCTCAGGTACTTAAAACTGTTTTTAGTTGATCAACTTTTTCTTAACAAAATTACTTTAGCGATACGATCTTCTAATATCCGTGAAAACATAATAAACATCGATCTTTATAGCTTTGACACTACATCGTGAAACTTGGCATCTTTAGAAAGAACAGGTTTTATTTAATTTCTAAGAGCTTTAATTGTTAATTAGCAAGCTCAATTTGTGTTAGAGCCTTTATTTTACCAGAATGTTTCGAGGTTGATTTAAATTTTTAAGATTTTATTGCTGTCTCGTATCTGCAGATGAGGATCAAATCAAAATGATTGAAGAAGGGATGGCGGATATCGCTAATAAGTCTTGTATAAAATTCGTGCCCAGAGCTTCTGATGGTGACCATGCTGTAATAATACAGGTAATTATTATTTGAATCATGTATATTTTATTCGAATAGATTTTCATGCAAGATCTTAAACAAACCCTGCATACTTTCAAAGATTATGGGGGTATAGGAAATACTTGCTTACTGCAGTAATGCTCCTATTACTGTAGTTGTTTTTGCACTTTAAATAATAATAATATTATATATATTTAACCCCCCTAGAATTAATAGATATATTTTTAGTCTTTCTCGTTATCTTGCACTCTTCGGGCATAGTATAATAAAGATTGCTTTAGGCAAACCTTACCTGAAGAACTTCTGGTATTCCTAGTAACGTTATTTACAGGGTTCTGCGAACGGGTGCTTCTCTAGCGTAGGGTTTAATACTCCAGGCGACGACGATGACGAAGAGGTCAGTCAGGTGCTGAACCTATCCAAGGGCTGCTTCAGACATGGCACAGTAGTCCATGAGATGCTGCACACCCTGGGTTTCTATCACATGCAGAGCACATACGATAGAGATGACTACGTCAAAATTGTATGGGAAAATATAAAAGCTGGTAGGTAGCGAAAATATTTGGGTTAAGTGGTCATGAGGAAATGTGATAAAATTTAATCGAATTATACAACTTGTTAAACATCTTTTTTATTTTAGGCACAGAACACAATTTTGCCAAATACACGAATGACACGGTAACCGATTTCGGAGTGCCGTACGATTATGGCAGTGTAATGCATTATCCTGAAACTGCTTTCTCTAAAAATGGGAATAAAACTATAATTGTATTGAAGGTAATTACAATTACTTACAATGTAAAGTTGAATATACGAGTAAAGCTTTATTCTAATACTACTTAATTCAGTTTTTCGTCTTAGCTTAAATACTCGTAACATTGTTACTTTTGTTCCTATGATTGAGTAGGTAAATATTTTTTTCCGAGCAATTTTTTATTCATAATTTCATTTTTTCAGGATGATGCAGTGATAGGCCAAAGAAATGGCATGTCTGAAAGTGATATTCTGAAGCTGAACAGAATGTATTGCGAATAGTCTCAAAATGTCATTGAAGAATGCTGAACTATGAAATGCTATGTAACGTCTCAATAACGGCTGCTTGACCCTGAAGTGTTTTTATTGATAGAGTCGAATTGGCAATAATCTGTGAATAAAAGTTTTCAAAACTGAAAGCATTGTAGTTTCTTCGCTTAGTTAACGTTTAGCCTTCCATATTCAGAGTTTTGAAATGATTTCAAGAAATTTGTACGTGCCATAGGAAGCCGAAGCAATCTTCTGTTGTAAGAAGCTAGCGTTTGCAGCTATAAGACCGCCTAATTTTGTATTTGTTATGATTTTACTGTTTTCTGTTCAATACTATCTGTATTTAATTGTAGAGTTCATTATTCTATCTGCATTTCATACATATAAATATGATGGGTTGGCACCCGGGGCGATCACCCCCCCCCCGTCACAAGTCTTAAGGCACCCCCTAGTACCCCCCAGGATTTTGGGGTAACTTACCGATTCGAAGATTGAAAGACAATCGCACCCCCGTCCCTCCTCCCCGTATCATGACAGACCGCAGATTTGCCATGCAGAATGAGTACTAATCTGCGCGACTTGTGTCACCCCCTGATGCTTGGCACCCGGGGCGGACCGCCGCTACTGAACAAAAATGACCTTTTATGTAAATAAAGGTCGAAGGAAGGCGCTAAATGCAGACATTGCCAAACGGCCAACGAAAATGATTGGCAGGGTAAAAAATTATTACTGTGGGTGGATGCACGTATTTTTCTCTCATCTAAATATCTTACTTAAGTAGGTATTAATTTCTTTTTATTGCACGTAAAGTTGTGCTAATGGCGGTAAAGGCATTCTCTACCAGTCAATCATGAATGATTGTCGGACTAATTAGTCAGACCGATAAAGTGAAAACTATCGCAAATTTTTATTTAAAGCCGAAATACCTACCTACTATGTATTTAGTTATGCCATCTAGGTATCATTTGTAATGATTGTTATTTGGACAATTTAGATCGTTTGGTACCACAGATTTTATCAATCGGTTTACTCGCATAGATTAGTCAATGACCTGAATCATTTACCTAATAAAGTTGCGAATGAAATTATCTAAATGTCTATAATATTACATTGGTCGGAATTTGCCTGATTTATTGTTTTATTTCGTGATCACCAGCTTGGATGGTTTTCTTGCGTTTGTTGCGTCAAAATTAAGAACCGCGACGTGAAGCCAACAAAATGTCGTATCTCTGACGTGACGATTACGTAGATAGAAGCAGCAAACATTTAACATTATAAATATTTGAAATACCTACCCAGTTAATACCTTATTATTTTGTATTAGGTAGGTACTTAGGTTAACTAGGGAGAGACCTGGCAATAGGTTTATTCTTCCCTGGAAGCGCTGTTAGTAATACGTAATACCATCTACATGCTTTATCTCTCTATACAAACAATTACCCATATCTTTCAAAGAAAATGACATTGGGAACTTTTTGCCCCACTCTTCGAAAAGTAGCGGACACAAACGAAACCTATATCAAATGATACATACTAATATCCAATGAATTTCCGTGCATTTTTTTTCTCTCTTATATCGGAATATTGAGAAAATGAAGTTTTAATATTTTATTTTATTTTACATTTAGGTAACATTTTTGACGACCTCCGTGGCGGAGAGGCGCACACACCGGTTTTCAAGGTGTGCCGGGCCAATCCTGAGGTCCCGGGTTCGATTCCCGGCCGGGACAATATAGAAAACAATCTTTTCACATTGTCTCTGGTTTGGGTGTGTTGTGGTGCGTCGTTCCCGATTTCCATAACACAAATGCCTTAGCTACTTATTTTGGGTTGGAGTAATATATGAGATGTTGTCTAATATTAATTTAAGTATTTATAATATTTTATTTATTTATATTATTTTATTTATATTTTTTATTTATTTATATTTTTTTATTTACTTTTATTGGTTACTCTGCAATGCCAAACAACATAACATGTAAAAATATCAAATCATTTTAGACAAATATATTTTCAACTTAGACTCGTCATATCTCAGAATATTCCCATTTCTCACAACATAGCGCTTTAAAAGTGAATATACCTACAAGTATAAAGCTTTGAAATAAAATACGTTTCATCTTTGTCCGCCGTGGGGCATTTTCTCATATTAAAGTTCCCAATGTCCTTTTGCTGAAATTATCGCAATATCTCCTTTAAAATAAATAAATAAATAATCTTTGGACAATTTCACACAGCTCTATCTAACCCTGCTTGTTTATGGGTGCTAGCTTAACGGATATAGGTAGGTACTACATATAGATGTTGTAGTTACCTAACTAGAATTTGAATAAGTAAGTATGTATGTAATATACCTACTATTATACGGGGTAAAAGAAGTAAAAACTACCTTATAGTCCAATTTGATACGAGTAGCTAGCTACGAGTATTATTATATTTCAATGGGTTTCCCTGTTGAAATCTCTTATTCAATGTCTACTAATTCGTGAAATCGGAACAACCTGTTTTTCACGCGTTTTAATGCTTATGATATAGATCTGTATTTCGTCACATGATAATGGCATTGAATAGGATTGCAGAACATAGAAAACTGAAAGTTGAGAATTTGTAAAGAGCAAAGGCTTAAATACCTAATTGTTTTATTAAATCCATTGAAGACGATATTTTGAGATACTTAAATCTTGAAACGTATTCCACTAGTGAAACAACACACACATAGGGAAAAATTAGTACGACTTCAGATATTCCTGAAGGCTTATCTTTCCTTCCATTTTCTGGACGACTTCACATACCTACGATATTTTTTCTAAGCTGGGTATACCTACTAACTAAAGTAAATAAAAAAAAGGTAAAAAACGTAACAATTGAAAAGAGTATCACGGCAGCAGAAATACTTATTAATTTGTAATATAAATATTAATAATATTATGATATTTATTTAATTGTGACAAGATTGGCTTGCGAACATTCAGTAAAGTTACAAAGTTCCAAACCACTTGACGGACGACGCCCATGCTTATTTCGACTTCCATTTAGATTTCTCTATTTCACTAATCCAATTATCAAATAATGAGTATCGAAGTTATTGTCGTACCGAAATAAAATTGTATGAAATGCGAAAATAAGTCGGGCGGTGAATTTAGCAATTGCTCTTGCAAGTAGTGGTGGCTGCTGTCACCGGAGGCGCGGCTGTCGCAAGCGGCGCCCGCGCAGTTGCGGCCCAACACCTTGTGAAATGGTTGTATCTGAACCTATATTAAATCCTACACCTTTCCGATGGGTTTTGTTCCTTAGAAAAAATCGCGCGCAACAGGAGCAAACGTTTATTCGCAAAGCAAAATGTTACCTATACCGTTAATATGACACACTTTGAACGCGTGTGACTTGTTTACTTATTTCGCGGACCTGTTTTGATGAATATTAAGTTGTAAGGATATTCAATGTAACGAAAATGAAGAGGTGCAAGCAATTATTTGTGATTGTTATGACTTGTTTGGTGGTGCAGTGTGCAGGGATGTCAATAAGTGAACTGGAAGATTTCGCGAACTTCCTCCAAAAGACGTCAAAGTTGGACGAAACTTTGAAAAGTAAGTAAAAGTTATTGAAAGTTGATTCTATTACTAGTGATGTTTCAAGCGACTTGTGTACTGCCCTTTTTAAGACAGAGAATGCGTTTTGTCATGGCAAAAAATATTTAATAGAATTTATTTATCATAAAATAAAATATTTATGGCACATTATCATACGAACTGGCTTGGTTCAGTTCTATTATGCTACTGAATTAATAATTGATCCTTAAACTTAACTATAAATTGTATTACTATAAATATTCAGAGGGCACGGATCCAAACGACTTCGACGAAGATGAAGTGGTATCGGACCACGCGTGGGAAGAAAGCGGCAAGTTTGAAGGCGACTTGATCCTGAACGAGCGGCAAAGAAGGATGATAGTGGAGGACATTGCCGAGGGTCTCTCCAGGAACGGTCTCCGAGACAGCACCAAGAGATGGCCTGATAACGAAGTCATCTACTTCATACAGAAGGAACATTTTTGTATGTCTTTTTCATAATTAATACAACAGACGCAAGTTAATTAATTTTTGAGACGACAGCCCAAGTAAGTATGATTATTTTTTCAGCTGGTGACCAAGTAGACGCTATCAGAAATGGTATCGAAGATATAGCGCGTGCATCCTGTATTAAATTTAGACCGTACAGAAAAGGAGATAGAGATGCAGTAGTAATTCAGGTATTTAACTATTGAAATCTTAAGAAAAAGCTATCATATTTTTTAGAGCATCAACGTAGAAAGATGCATGATGCAACCTATTATTCTTGTGAAGCTAGCATGCAAAACGCGCTCCAATGATTGGCTTACGAAACAATATTTTATCAGCTACTTTTTTGAGTGATTCCTTTATCTTTGTCTTCAATTTCCAGGGTAGTCGACGGGGCTGTTTCTCGCAAGTGGGTTATCAAGGAGGCTATCAGGTGCTGAACTTATCAGGCCGGCACCCAGTCGGACGCGGGTGTTTCCGCCATGGCACCGTAGTCCATGAGTTGCTCCACACCCTGGGTTTCTACCACATGCAGAGCAGTCCTGACAGGGACGACTACGTCGACATCGTTTGGGAGAACATCGTGCAACGTAAGTTATTTATCATCAGTTTCTAGCTACATTCTTCTCAGTGTGCTTTTTCTCTTCATGCCGCTTAAAATGACAGTTGAGAATGGTACTATTTCCACATCTCGTTCCCATCGCTGCAACTTCTGTGTTATCCATGATCTACAGCTTGATGGCCAATAAAAAAACCCAACCAGTGAAGGTCAAGTTTGTCCCGGGGGAAAGAAACCGTCATTGGACAATTGAGAAGTTAAACATTAGAACCTAGTTATGACAGTTTGATTTGATTCTGAATGTGAAACGTTCACATTAAGTAATAGAAAGCCTTTCTGTTCGGACCCGGGTCAGGTGTAGTGCAGGTAATTTTTATTCTAAGTAAGTATTATTCACGGTTCAAATCCCACGCGACCGGATTCGTGGGTGAAGGCTAGTTTATGATAAAACATTTGAAAGTTTTCGTTAGTTATGTCACAGGCATATAACTCAGCACTGCAATATGCACGGTGTATGTACAGTTGCCACTGC